AGTCTCTTCTTCTTATTGGTGTCCTTTAGTAGTGGTTTCTTTGCAGCAATTCGACCATGAACATTTACATTTTAGTCATTTAGCAGACGCTCTTATCCAGAGCGACTTACAGGAGAAATTAGGGTTAAGTGCCTTGCTCAAGGGCACATTTACGTCATTTAGCAGACGCTCTTATCCAGAGCGACTTACAAATTGGGGGGGGGGGGGGGTAGAAGGATTACTTTATCCTATCCCAGGTGTTCCTTAAAGAGGTGGGGTTTCAAATGTCTCCGGAAGGTGGTGAGTGACTCCGCTGTCCTGGCGTCGTGAGGGAGCTTGTTCCACCATTGGGGTGCCAGAGCAGCGAACAGTTTTGACTGGGCTGAGCGGGAACTATGCTTCCGCAGAGGAAGGGGAGCCAGCAGGCCAGAGGTGGATGAACGCAATGCCCTCGTTTGGGTGTAGGGACTGATCAGAGCCTGAAGGTACGGAGGTGCCGTTCCCCTCACTGCTCCATAGGCAAGCACCATGGTCTTGTAACGGATGCGAGCTTCAACTGGAAGCCAGTGGAGTGTGCGGAGGAGGGGGGTGACGTGAGAGAACTTGGGAAGGTTGAACACCAGACGGGCTGTGGCATTCTGGATGAGTTGTAGGGGTTTAATGGCACAGGCAGGGAGCCCAGCCAACAGCGAGTTGCATTAATCCAGACGGGAGATGACAAGTGCCTGGATTAGGACCTGTGCCGCTTCCTGTGTAAGGCAGGGTCGTACTCTCCGAATGTTGTAGAGCATGAACCTGCAGGATCGGGTCACCGCCTTGATGTTAGCGGAGAACGACAGGGTGTTGTCCAGGGTCACGCCAAGGCTCTTCGCACTCTGGGAGGAGGACACAACGGAGTTGTCAACCGTGATGGCGAGATCATGGAACGGGCAGTCCTTCCCCGGGAGGAAGAGCAGCTCCGTCTTGCCAGGGTTCAGCTTGAGGTGGTGATCCGTCATCCATACTGATATGTCAGCCAGGCATGCAGAGATGTGATTCGCCACCTGGTTATCAGAAGGGGGAAAGGAGAAGATTAGTTGTGTATCGTCAGCGTAGCAATGATAGGAGAGGCCATGTGAGGATATGACAGAGCCAAGTGACTTGGTGTATAGGGAGAAAAGGAGAGGGCCTAGAACTGAGCCCTGGGGGACACCAGTGGTGAGAGCACGTGGTGCGGAGACAGCTTCTCGCCACGCCACTTGGTAGGAGCGACCGGTCAGGTAGGACGCAATCCAGGAGTGAGCCGCGCAGGAGATGCCCAGCTCGGAGAGGGTGGAGAGGAGGATCTCATGGTTCACAGTATCAAAGGCAGCAGACAGGTCTAGAAGGACAAGAGCAGAGGAGAGAGAGTTAGCTTTAGCAGTGCGGAGAGCCTCCGTGACACAGAGAAGAGCAGTCTCAGTTGAATGACCAGTCCTGAAACCTGACTGGTTTGGATCAAGAAGGTCATTCTGAGAGAGATAGCAAGAGAGTTGGCTAAAGACGGCACGCTCAATAGTTTTGGAAAGAAAAGAAAGAAGGGATACTGGTCTGTAGTTGTTGACATCAGTGGGATCGAGTGTTGGTTTTTTGAGAAGGGGTGCAACTCTCGCTCTCTTGAAGACGGAAGGGACATGGCCAGCGGTCAAGGATGAGTTGATCAGCGAGGTGAGGTAGGGGAGAAGGTCACCGGAGATGGTCTGGAGAAGAGAGGAGGGGATGGGGTCAAGCGGGCAGGTTGTTGGGCGGCCTGCAGTCACTAGTCGCAAGATTTTATCTGGAGAGAGAGGGGTGAAAGAAGTCAAAGCATAGGGTAGGGCAGTGTGAGCAGGACCAGCAGTGTCATTAGACTTAACAAACGAGGATTGGATGTCGTCAACCTTCTTTTCAAAGTGGTTGACGAAGTCATCCACAGAGAGGGAGGAGGGGGGGGGGGGGGGATTCAGCAGTGAGGAGAATGTGGCAAAGAGCTTCCTAGGGTTAGAGGCAGATGCTTGGAATTTAGAGTGGTAGAAAGTGGCCTTAGCAGCAGAAACAGATGAAGAAAATGTAGAGAGGAGGGAGTGAAAAGATGCCAGGTCGGCAGGGAGTTTAGTTTTCTTCCATTTCCGCTCAGCTGCCCGGAGCTCTGTTCTGTGAGCTCGCAATGAGTCATCAAGCCACAGAGCTGGAGGGGAGGACCGAGCCGGCCGGGAGGATAGGGGACACAGGGAGTCAAAGGATGCAGAAAGGGAGGAGAGGAGGGTTGAGGAGGCAGAATCAGGAGATTGGAGGGAGAAGGATTGAGCAGAGGGAAGAGATGATAGGATGGAAGAGGAGAGAGTAGTGGGAGAGAGAGAGCGAAGGTTGCGGCGGCGCGTTACCATCTGTGTAGGGGCAGAGTGAGTAGTGTTGGAGGAGAGCGAGAGAGAGAAGGATACAAAGTAGTGGTCGGAGACATGGAGGGGAGTTGCAGTGAGATTAGTAGAAGAGCAACATCTAGTAAAGATGAAGTCAAGCGTATTGCCTGCCTTGTGAGTGGGGGGGGGGATGGTGAGAGGGTGAGGTCAAAAGAGGAGAGGAGTGGAAAGAAGGAGGCAGAGAGAAATGAGTCAAATGTAGACGTAGGGAGGTTGAAATCCCCCAAAACTGTGAAGGGTGAGCCATCCTCAGGAAAGGAACTTATCAAGGCGTCAAGCTCATTGATGAACTCTCCAAGGGAACCTGGAGGGCGATAGATGACAAGGATATTAAGCTTAAATGGGCTAGTGACTGTGACAGCGTGGAATTCAAATGAGGAGATAGACAGATGGGTTAGGGGAAAAATTGAGAATGACCACTTGGGAGAGATGAGGATTCCTGTGCCACCACCCCTCTGACCAGATGCTCTCGGGGTATGCGAGAACACATGGTCAGACGAGGAGAGAGCAGTAGGAGTAGCAGTGTTTTCAGTGGTAATCCATGTCAATGAAGGCCTGATTCACACAGTCTCTTTTGAACAGTTGATGTTGAGATGTGTCTGTGACTTGAACTCTGTGAAGCATTTATTTGGGCTGCCATTTCTGAGGCTGGTAACTCTAATTAACGTATCCTCTGCAGCAGAGGTAACTCTGGGTCTTCCATTCCTGTGGCGGTCCTCATGAGAGCCAGTTTCATCATAGCGCTTGATGGTTTTTGCGACTGCACTTGAAGAAACGTTCAAAGTTCTTGAAATGTTCCGTATTGACTATCCTTCATGTCTTAAAGTAATGATAGACTGTCGTTTCTCTTTGCTTATTTGAGCTGTTCTTTCCATAATATGGACTTAGTCTTTTACCAAATAGGGCTATCTTCTGTATACACATTTTATTACCACCAAAAATAATTAACAAAATTCATCAATTGACTAAGAGTAACTATTCACCAACCTGTCCAGGGCTCTTCTTCCAGCTGATCCACAGGTAAATCATGGAGATGACCAGAAAGGCCATGCTGAGGGCCAGGATCATGCAGCCGAAGTCGTGCAGGGCCATGTCCAAGAAGGAGGTGTCATACTCCTTGCTCTCCACCACCTTTCTCAGCTCATCAGGTGTGATCTCCATCCCAACCCTTGACCAGGTTGGGTGTTTGCAGTACTCCACGCCAATATCAACACAGACCATCTTCAGATAATGAAGTAGCTCATAAAACAGCTCTGTGTTCTTATCTTTGGAGGCCAGAGATGTGTATCCAATCGTGTCTGAGTAAAGAATGAGGGCCTGAGCCAGTGCAGCCTCAGACCAGCTCAGCAGCCCCATTATTACATCATATGTACCATGATTGCATCATGACTGCCAAATGACAACTATACGAACTTTGAAAATAAATCATTTGTGAAAATAGCACCCTGGTGTGCTCATCAAAACAAATGTATCAAGCACAGTGCATCTTAAATAATGAATTAAACAATTTTCTAATTCTTCTAACCTTAACAGTTTTCTTAAAACAAACAGGTGTATCAAGACACAAGGCGGCAAAATTTAGTTCAGAACTGAGTTATATTTTAAGAACAGAACAGGCTCCAAGTCCTGTCTCGTTGTCAGCGCTCCCGAGTGCTGGTTGTCAGCGCTGCCGAGTGGTTGCCCTCGTCTTCACTCTCTCCTGATGAGCAGCAACATGAGGAAGATTCCACAGCGTCACAGCGGGTTAGTTCTCGGCCCCTGTTATTTCGAGGTGCTTTCCCCCGTCTCCTACGTTCCTCATCCATCGCCTGAAGCTTCTTCTCCAGGGCTAGCAGCCTCACCTCCACGCCCTTCAGTTGTTGGAGATGCTCTGACAGCATGGCGGATGTGTAATGCACATCCGACTTCTTCTGCAGGAAAAACACATTTCAGAGATGATTTTTTTTACCACCATTTTGATAAGTTAAATCCTTAGTATTCCTCAGTGTTTTGGGCCAGATATTCCTACAACCAGCTTTCCTGGGACTAAACCTCGACAAGCACCAATATAGAGGACTTACATATCTAGTTATGTTTCTCAAAAATCTAAATGTTGCCCTGATGTGAAAGTGGGTAATAATGTTACTTACCAGTAATGTCTTGATCAGCTTCCTCTTGTATATTCTGTAAAGAGTATTAAAGGCAACAAATGCCAAGGAGATCACTAGCAGGTACGGGAGCACAGCTTCTATTGCACTGAAAACTAGGCTAATCCCACTGGCACTGGGTCTGAAAAATGCAGCAAGTTCCTCTGGAGTTATATCTATTCCAACCGTTGCCCATGCCGGAAGGCTGGGGAAAATTGAATTTTTGGGGGGTGGAGGACTGGAAAAGGGCCATATAGAAAAGGCCATCTTTACCAGATTAAACCACACACAGTGAAGCTGACACAGGCATTAGAAATGTAGAATGTATCAAACTGAGCATAGAATCTTTGGCAACATTCCACCCAGAGCTGTAATTGTGACAGAACCATGGAACTGGGAGAGCCTTCTTTGACAATCATTGATGATGCAACCTCAATTCCATATCAACTCAACAAAAGGGATGGCAGAGAGCTATCAGTTAATTCCTCAAGTTGTGCATTTATTAAAACAACTTCAATGAAAATTCACCATCAATGAATTTTCAAAATTGCATTACAAGAAACATACTGCAATAAAAACAACATTTTTAAAAAGAGGATGTTCAGTTATGTGCAGTCTATACAGCCCTGAGACATATTCCCATTATAAATGGTTACAGCAAAACATTTCAGATACATCAATTCTACATTTTTATCCAATACCGAATGGCAATACAATTCTATGGCTTACATGTCCTGTCAAAAAAGAACGATCACTCCACGTTTGTAAATTATCCTCTAGTTTTCAGAAATCTATAACAAACAGTTTGAACAGATTGGGCTTTTATGGCCCATGATAAAAGTTGCAGTTACCAATGTGATGTAATGCAACAGAAATAGGTTTTTATGAATGGCTTTTTCATCCTAAGGTCTTAAACTATACAAGAAGATTCAAATGCAGCTTTTCCCAGAGTATCCTATTAGTATCAAATTACACCGCTTTTAGACTTTAAAATGTCCAACTTGACCTCACTCACCTCTTAACTAAAATCCTTAATGAACTATGCAAAGAGCCCTCAATCAACTCTCCCACTAAATCATAATTCTCTCAATGAGATGCAAAATTGGACAGACATGGCAGTATAATCAAGTCATTTAAAGTGATTAATTTACCCAGCCAATGACTGACCACTAAAATGTCAGGTCAGAAACTGTACTCTAAGAACACATACATATGAGTGACCTTCCACCAACATCAGAAAATGGAGCCCGATCATTTATCATCCTCAGGGAACTTGAACTTGGCATACACAATGAGCATGACCATCGACATGACAACACACAGAGATCCAACCACCAGGTATGCGATGCCCAAGAACTGGTTCTTTCCGCCCATCCAGGACACGTTGCTGAAGACCACCTTCTTCCTTCCGCCAAAGCTCAACACGGGATAGTCTGGAGAAGGAGTGTGTTAAGGTCGAACAGGACATAGAAGAGTGTCATTTGAGAGTGACCATACAAATTAGACACCGTTGGCAATATTTGCATCGAAAAATGTACTCTTTCCCTAGCATCTGCTTTTTTCCAAGGCCCAAGAACTACCACGTCATGGTAGTATTGTCTCCCATTCTCTTCTGTTTGAAAAGCAGAGTCCCACCTAACTGGTAAGACCAGTTGAGCTGAAATGCAGGGGTAAACCATTGAGCAATAAACTGTTGTAACACGAGACACTAGCCCCATGGGAGTGGAATACAAGTCACTCCGAGCAGAGTAAAAAACACATTATTACAGTTGTCTGTATTTAGCTGGAGTAATAGCATCAAAATGCAGTTAATGTTCTCTCTGATGAATGAGTGAGTGGAAATGACAATTGGATTAGAATGAAATAAGCGCTTATGAATTTACGGGAGTGATTATTGAATTACATAACATGACATTGTAATGTTTGAATCATCTGTCATTCCGTACATAATAACAGAACATTACATTTTAGTCATTTAGCAGACGCTCTTATCCAGAGTTAGTGAGTGTATACAATTTTTTGTTTTCATACTGGCCTCCCGTGGGAATCGAACCCACGCTTCATAAAGCCTGCGCCCCTTCACACACTCCCACTGACTTATTGACATTTCCATAGACCTATACATATTGTAATGAAGGATACTGTAGGCGATTTCAAGGGAGTAGTTCCCTGCAGGTAGGCCACTGGCGTAGTCGCCCTCTGTGATTCGTCGATACAGCTTCCTGAAGTCTGGCAGGGCAGCCCTTCTCATCCACACCAGGAAGTCCTGGTTCACAAAGCCGTTGTTGGATGGGTCAGAGGTGTCCAGCTCATAGGCCGGCTTGGACCAAAAGGGTGGCTTCACAGTACCTACGTGAGGAAAGCAAATGAAAGTCAATGTAACATCCAACTTCTAGGTCAGTGTGTTAAGACATGTGGATGTAGGGTATTAATGATTAGGCATCTCAAATTAGGATGTCACCGTATACATTAATGTCATGGTCTCTGGATTGAAATTATTACCATTGAATGCGTTCTTTAGAGGGGTAACAGATGGGTTCCTGTATTTGATGTTGTAGTCAGTCCACCATGCTATTCCTTTTCCATCAAAGGGAACAAGCTTGTTGGTCCCATTGACCATCTGATAGAGCTTAAAGGTGTCTTTCAAAAAAACAATGCAGAGATGTAATTATTGGACAATGTTGAACAGAACATTTACCCCAAGTGTAGCGTGTTACAAAACGTTCTACTAGAGTTACGATTAATGAATTATGGGCCTTGTACCATTGAACATGCTGTTTGCTAATGATCCACAGGGCACAATTGGGTTGTTGTTGGCATCATACTGATAGGGAGAGCATGCAGAATTAGGTGTCTGCAAGAAAGAGGGGAAAACAGTTGGTGATAGCTGTCCGTCACAACATTTGAGGCTGTTCTTAGATAATTTGCCACACATTCACATATCTTCTCACCTTGAAGTAGTCAAGATCTCCTGAGAGCTGGTATTCATCTTTTGAAGCCCCATATGCACGTTGGCTCTGAAAGTAGTTGGACAGACCATAGTAGAAAAACACAGGACCCTGAAGAACAAAGAGTTTGTTAGAACCAGCTCTGTACTAGATGTAATGAGCAGACCTCACATTACTGTGATAACTTAAATAAGCGAAGGAGAGTACCGATGGCACGTTACCTCAAACAGATTGGAGAGAGAGAAATCCAGTTTGCACGTACAGTTCTTGACGCTGGGGTTAGAGCACTTGTAGCAGTCCGAGACGGTCTCTACTCCGGTGTAATCCCTCTGTGTCAACATGAAGCCTTGCATCAAATATTGATCAGCACCTATCACCATACAACCACAACTCACACCTCCATTGTGTTGTGTGCCAGATACTATCACCTTCATCCTGCCAAGACCGAATTAGCTAGTAAACGAGCTTGAACAGATAGCAAGAGTAACATTCAAGTAGAAGATGTACACGAGTAACTAAAGAGAGTAACAGGCTGTGTCTAATTTGAACTAGTAAAAATAGAGCTACTCTGAGGGTACGTTGATGAACTTCATAACTAAATTGAGAACATACAACTGGCCAATATAAATTGTTATGCAAATGGTAAATAAAGGTATCGTAAGTCCTGAAACTAGGAGTCACTTTTGACCAGTTATGCTCTTACCTCCAGCACTGTGATGTTCTGGGAGGCGATGAAGAGGGCAACACCTATGCCAATGAATGCCAGGCCGATGAGCACAAACCCAGGGATGACGATACCAGCCGACAGCATGGGCTGCCAAGCAGGGAGCCTCTGCTGTGTGAAGGCTGTGTTGTCTGGCCGGTTGGCCGTTTCTAGCTCTTCTTTCATCATGATTCTGTTAGTAAGAGAGAATAAGGAAGGACTTGTTTTAATCCAGGAGAGCTGTGGACCAGCAGATCAGGGCTGGGGTCAATTACAATGGAAGGCAATCAAGTCAGGAAGTGATTTAAGTGTAATATTCAAAAACGTTTGAAATAAATACTATAGCTTCTACTCCTCAGTTTATTGAGAAGTCATTGAAAATAGATGCAGTTCACATTTTGAATTGTTTTTTAAGTTTACTTCCTGAATTGACTGCCTTGAATTTGAATTGACCCAGCCCTGCAACATATGTAGGCATATCAGAGTTTTTCCATGCAGGAATTCCTAAAGAAAAAATTTAAACAATACAATGCAGTTGCACTGACATGATTAGGGACCTGTGTTTTGCGCAATCATGGGACATGCCTGGATTTGTAACTTTACTTAGTTTTTTCATCAAACTGTCCCCTTTTTATGTCAGATGTTCCAGCACCATCCTCAGACAATTTATTTCATTTGTGTAATTCTCATTTCTGGATATAAGGATACAATCTTACTGTCACATGATTGCACAAAACACAGATTAACCATATAATATAAATGACTCGAAAATCAGAGATAAGTGGGTTTATATTACACATTTCTTGGTCAATCCCCCCCCCCCCCCCCCCAAATATGAATAATCCAATTAAGATAAACCTTCGGCAAAATAAGTAAAACAACCGTAAAGTTAAAAGGTAGACTCAGCGAAATGACATTGCCAGGAGCAGCACAGGTTGGGCGCGTTTGAGTGGTAAACTCAAAGTAGTCGACTGTAGACGGACGTCGACGAGTAAAGTCAGGGGAGGTACATATGCACCGACAGCAAGTCAGTCAACTTCTGCCGTTTCTAGGAAACGCGACTATGGCAGACATGGCATTCGCCTTTGTTGTTGCCGATGACAACACGAAGCTGAACATGATCAACAAGTCTTGTAAATGTTAGAGCTTGTGCTGGTATCTAATTTCCTTATCAGAATATTAATTCCTTGGGCCATGTTGATCATAACCAGGTAGTGAGTGCATAGGCTACTAGAATGAGAACATAGGTGTTTTTTCAGCATATGCTCTGTTGTCGCCATTACTTCGTGCCCTTGTACCTTCCTCATTATTATTTGTGATTGTGCAACATGGAATTGTAACAGATTGTGATTAAATGGAGTCCAAAGATTCTTACTGTATGGTAATTGATTGCATGTCAGCTTCACTACAGTCTCCAGTGTATTTATTTATTTAATTCTCAACCTTTATATTGCTATTGTCAGTAAGCAGAATTTGATTCAATCACATGAAGGACAACACACTCACTGTACAGAAAAGGATTAGACAATACATGTACATCAGTTCACATAAATTACTGGGTAAACAATATGCCAAGCAGTCAAATGCACTTGGTATTGACCCCACGACTGGTGTCTGGGGAAAAATCTGTCATTAATTTCGACGTTTTTGCAGAGGATATCTTAGTCGTGCAATTTTACATCTAACTAAGATGTTTGGTGCAGTATTTCTCAATGAAAATGTGCATGAAAACGAGTCATCCTCCTTGAATGACAAACACTTCATTGAAGAATCCCTACTGATGACCGATGAAGGGGCGTAGACTTCGGCTACGAACTTCGGATTGCCGAACAGCCCAAAAAATGACCAAAACGAAGAAAAATGTCACTAAATGTAGTCATAATATATGTTCCGAACTGTTTCAGATTGGGATACAGCGGCGGCCCGCCCATTAGGGCATTAGGGGCTGCGGCCCACTTGTGACTGGTAAAAAAAAAATAAGTTACTATATATATTTTTTAAACAATATTATATAATTCACAGATTATGCTTTAAATGCTCAAAAGCCCGGTAAATGTGTACATTTCAAAAATATGTTTCAAAACAAGCTGTTCAGTTCCCACTCTGCTCCTCAGTGACTGCCAGGGACCTGGACCTTCTCATCGCAGATCTGGTAGGACAAAAAAGCATGGCCAATTGTTCCCCCCCCATGTTTTTCATCATCAGGTTCTACTGACAGGGCGACATGTTGTATACACTAAAACAGCATAAAAATGGGTGTATCACAAAGCATGATCAAATTAATTAGCCAGCTACAGTAATTGAGAATCATTGAGAAATAGTTTTGTTGATCTTTTGGTCAAATTAACCACTTATTTACCTTCGATAAGCAGCTAACTAGCTAGCTGGTAACTTGCTAGCTAGTTAGGTCCCATGCCAATTTCAAGTCTTTCTATACTAATATCGGACTAACTATTCAGTTCTTTCAGAATGAAAGTTAACTGACTAGCGCACCATGCTTTGTGACATCATGTTAGCAAGCTATCCCCAGTTAGATCATGTGTTTTCACTTATTGCATCTGTATGCTGCTTGTTGCATTTTTCCTGGTGCACTCGTTCATTTGTAAGCTGGCTGCTCATTCTAAATAGTATAATCACAGAGTTTCTAAACCCAGAGGCGGAACATCGCGAGACTTCCGGGAACGCTTGCGTTTGAGAAGTCAATGAGAGAAGTGAACAATTCTTCCTTAGTTAATTTTCTCTAAATCAAAAAATGCACAACCTAGATTCGAGCCAATGTCTTAAGTAGTTGAACATGTTATTACTCCAAAGTCGTGAAAGTGATAAACTGATACTGTACCATCTTTGGTATAATCTAATCTGTTCAAAACAGAGGCAGCATGTGCAGCAGTGGTCATTCGGCTTTTGAAATGCAAAAGTGAAATAGGTGTATTTATACTGTTGGTTACATTTCTGTCATCCAGCTTTAATGACGACTCCAACCACCTTGCGCCCCCGAATATTCAGCCAATCAGTGGCCGCCACTGACGGGAAGCCTTTAGTTGTTGTGAAATTGATGGTGCTTTCAAGACAACTGGGAACTAAAAAAAATATATGAAGTCAGTGTTCTTCAGGTCGGAAAGTCAGAGCTCTAGAAAGAGGCTCAAGTTCTCGACATGGATGACCATAAAAAAAGATATTTCCGATTAGGAGCTCGTTTTTTCCCCCCCCGAGTTCCAATTTGTCTTGAACACACTGATGTCTGATATTTCAAGGTTCCCAGTTGTTTTGAATGCAGCATGACCCACTGTGCTGTTTACTTTCTCCATTACGTCATATCGCAGAGTCTACCTTTAAATACCAGTACAGCTTCTTTGATATTGGGTTTTTAAATAATCCCAAATAGTATGATTTTTTTGCCTCAAACAGCTGCTAGAAATAATGAGCATTGTTATGTTTATGTCAACTGTATTTTTGTTTTACTTTTAATGTGGAGAAATGGTGTATGGATGACTGAATGATTGCATTTATTAATACTATTTGTCTTTTCAAAGGGACGATTGTGGTAAAAATGAGAGCATTTCTTATTTTGTTAACTGAAATACAGGTTAGGTGACCCCCTTTCGATTCCGATTGTGGTATCACGGTCTGATTTATTAGGTAAGTTATTGACTAGCATTTGGCAAACACGGCATACTCCACTGCCAGAAGAACATTTTAAATATTTCCGCGTGCCTGTCGCCTTCTTCACTCTGAGAAGTTGGAAAGTAAATAATTGCAAACTAGCGTACTTACCCGTTTTAACGAAGAAGAAAAATCGGTGTCTTTTTTTCCAGATTCGGTTGAGGGATATTCACAATAGGCAGCGTAGATAGACAATAGACTGGGCGCTGCCTGCCGCCAACACCTTTACCTGACTGACTGTTCCTTCCTTTTCTCTCTCTTCTCTTCCTGCCAATGGTGTTCCTCACAATGACGTCATTTGTCCTCCACAAGTCGTGAAAAACACTATACATATAAATTCCTTCAAGTTACATAGGCAATGTTACAGAAAAAGTATATGTGCTGTCGAATATTATAATGCCATTTTTTATGCATTATTTTATTTATGTTATTTTTGTGTAGGCTGTCGTTTTTTGTAATTTTCTCTTGCCTGATTTGTGTATTGTGTTGTTCATTTTTTCAATTAAAAAGCACTTTACATTTTTAGTAGACACTCTTATCCAGAGCGACTTACAGTTAGTGAGTGCATATATATATATATTTTTTTTTTTCATACTGGCCCCCCTGTGGGAATCGAACCCACAACCCTGGCGTTGCAATACATTTACATTTTAGTCATTTAGCAGACGCTCTTATCCAGAGCGACTTACAGTTAGTGAATACATATTTTTTTATACTGGCCCCCCCGTGGGAATCGAACCCACAACCCTGGCGTTGCAAACGCCATGCTCTATCAACTGAGCTACATCCCTGCCGGCCATTCCCTCCCCTACCCTGGACGACGCTGGGCCAATTGTGCGCCGCCCATGAGTCTCCCGGTCGCGGCCGGCTGCAACAGAGCCTGGATTCGAACCAGGATCTCTAGTGGCACAGTTAGCACTAGAGATCCTCACTTATCTCCAATATGTAACGTTAGGCCCAATTCTATGGTGAGAATTCAACCACAGTAGCCTAAGACATATGACTTACACCGTCTTGTCATGGCAAAAAATAAGGACACCTAACTATAATTATAATTGACGTTTTGTTATCATAGCAGACTTTACAATTGGCCTCTAGCCATTCCTTCCAGTTCTCTGCTGCAAATGACTGGAACGAACTGCAAAAATCTCTGAAGCTGTAGACACTTATCTCCCTCACTAACTTTAAGCATCAGTTGTCAGAGCAGCTTACCAATCACTGCACCTGTACACAGCCCATCTGTAATGAGCCCACCCAACTACCTCATCCCCATATTGTTATTTACATTGTTATTTATTTTGCTCATTTGCACCCCAGTATCTCTATTTGCACATCATCATCTATCACTCCAGTGATAGATGATAAATTCTAATTATTTTGCACTATGGCCTAATTATTGCCTTACCTCCATAACTTACTACATTTGCACACACTGTATATAGATGTTCTATTGTGTTATTGACTGTACGTTTTGTTTTTGTTTATTCCATATGTAACTGTGTTGTTGTTTTTATCGCAGTGCTTTGCTTTAATAATAATAATAATATGCCATTTAGCAGACGCTTTTATCCAAAGCGACTTACAGTCATATGTGCATAACATTTGTAACGTATGGGTGGTCCCGGGGATCGAACCAACTACCCTGGCGTTACAAGCGCCGTGCTCTACCAATTGAGCTACAGATATCTTGGCCAGGTCGCAGTTGTAAATGAGAACTTGTTCTCAACTGGCTTACCTGGTTAAATAAAGGTGAAATAAACAAAAAAACTAAAAATAGCTTGAGTAATGATTTCATGGAATGGTTTTGCTTGAGCAGCACAGATCAAGTGATACTAAAAGGGATGCATTTGCTCCATTGTCTATTTTTTGTTGGTGACCTACCCTATGTGCACATAGTGTGGGTTTCTTTCTCTAGGGAAATTACACGGACTTCAATTCATTCATACATTTAATTAACTCTGAAAACAAATACATGAGTAGCCTACAGAAAATGCAATAAATATTTGTTGTAACCATCAGCGTCATTGAAAAAAAATCGCCTCTTCCTTGGTGATTGACAATACCCATAACCAATCATTGTGTTCACGAGCGTATCGACGGTCTCCTCCTTAACCAATAGGATGATAGTGAGGGGCGGGTCATATAATTCAACGAGAGGACGAGTTGCCTTTGTGTTGACAAATTACGAAGATCTAGAGGTAAAAATATCATATTATGCATATAGCTAGTTATGTTTTATTTTTCATCTCACGGCCCCAGTATTGCCTGAATACTGAAATGCGATATTATTTTATAGCGTAGCTAAGTTACTAACACGTAATTGGAGTGCAGTGTTTTCACTGACACGGGTAACGTTAGCTAGTTGCTATCGTTAGCTAACTAGCACACACAGACACTTAATCTGCTGAGACTCATTGTTAGCCTGCTAACGTTAGCTAACTAGTTAGCTATCTAACTAAATTGATTAGTTTGTGAATCCGGTGAGGACAGTACAACATGCACATTACGCGTTAAATCGACCTTGTTAAGTCAGAGAAGCTAGCTAGCTATGTTGTAATAATGTCAGACTGGGGTTTATAAGATGGCTAGCTAGCTAACATTAGCAGCATGATTTAGCTAGGCAGATGGCTTGTTAGCTAGCTCGACTGACTGGCGGCTGCAGTCCGATTGTCCGACATGTTTTCTTACTTACGAAACCATCGAAAAAGGCGATTGATACGAACCAAGTAATGTTAGATAGCTATCTGGCCTAACTACTAGTACCAACGGTTGTTTTTCTCTGCATGTTTAAAATACAATTACAATAAATTAAGTAGTTAGCTACCTAGTAATAGCTAGCTAATTCCTAGCTAGCTAATACACCTGGAGATCTTAAGTTATTAAGGCTAAGTTAATCGTTAGCTAGAGCCTTTTAACGATTAATTTAGCCTTAAGATGCTTTTGGGAAACCGGGCCCAGGACTGATTGGCTTTCGGCCTGGCTAGGTGGACTTAACTAACTATTTCTCAGTTGCAGTTGTTCATGACCATATTTCTGATTCTGTCTTTATTTCTTAGTGTTTGAATGGATATTACCAGGTGCCCGGAGAAATGGTTAAAACAAGACAAGGTTATTGTGGCGTCCTCTTACATTTGTCATCATGCACATCTGTCAACGCATCTAGCTAATAGTGCACTTCTTAGGCACGCTACAATTCCCGTGACTGGCAGGTGCATTTAAAGCCCCAACAATAAAAATTATAGAAATGTATTTAGCTAGCTGTTATGGAGTTGTTCAGAACTCTTTTCCATATTTTTCCATCATGATATTGTTATTATCCATATAGAAAGTGAGAACATGAATGCATTAATCAGACAAAGAAAATTATGAAACATAAAAAATCACAACAAAAAACATTCAGTGTGACCAGGAGATGTTAGTTGAGTTGGTAAACTACAAAATTAATCTGAACAACAAAATGATCTCAATATTCTAGTTGTGTTTCTTAGCTATATTGGTGATCTTTTTGCCTGGCCATTGTAAAAATAAATCCATTAACAGCAATTCATCGTCATTTTCATTTGCGAAATGCAGAAATGTTGCTAATATGCAACTTCATAGCCGTTTATTATTTTCCATCACACCACAATAGACCATCGTTGTGGAAAAACTTCAACACTGGCCATCCTAGAGTATCACATCACCAGCTGAAACTCTAGAGCTGCGAATGGATTTGGCTCATGCCTATTTTTGTGGTCTCTCTTTCCAGGAGAGGCCTCTGTCTTCCTCCATTATGCTGTCGAGTAAGAAGTCGGATGCAGGCACCTCTTCCTCCGCATCTTCCTCCTCCTCGGCGGCAGGGGGAGCTGAGCGGGCCCCTGAAGCTCAGGCTACTGCCCAGGCTGGGGCCCCTGCTTCGGCACCAGGCCCCATGGAGATAAAAAAGAAAGAGCGGGCCTCCCCAAGCGGGGAGCCTGGCGGACCCCCTCTGCTCCACCCTCCTGGCCCCGGAGGCGTTGACCCGGACACGGCTGAGGGCCGCAGGACAAGCCGCCGCAAGCGATCAAAAGTAAAAAACCTATTACTCCTGTCCCCCCTATCTTAGAGAGAAATAGAGGAAGTCACTACAAGCACGTGCCCCCACCAGCCCTAGACCAGGAGCACATTGAATGACTATTAAGAATACAGTAATCTTGGTATGGCCATTTAATTAGTGGTGAACAACACCAGAGGAGCACAGGGAGCTTGACCTTTGACCTCATCTCAGGTGAGCCGGAACATGGTTTTAATGGAGCGTTTATTGTGCCCCTTGTTGCAGGTGGAGTACCGCGAGATGGACGAAAGCCTGGCCAATCTGTCTGAGGACGAATACTACTCGGAGGAGGAGCGCAATGCCAAGGCGGAGAAAGAGCGAAAGCAGGTGATCCCGCCGCCGGCGCCTCCCGTGGAGGAGGAGCCGGACAGCGAGCCTGAGGAGCCTTCTGGTGAGTGTGAGTCGGACTTTGCGAAAGTGTGTGTCTGTGAGCGTGAATGTTACATTGGGCAGCGAAAGGTGTGTGTGTGTGTGTCAGGGCAGGTGGTGAGGGTGGTGTGTTTGTGGTTTTCCAGGCGTGGAGGGAGCTGCGTTCCAGAGCCGCCTCCCACACGACCGCATGACCTCCCAGGAGGCCGCCTGCTTCCCGGACATCATCAGCGGGCCCCAGCAGACACAGAAGGTGTTCCTGTACATCCGCAACCGCACGGTGAGAATGCACACACACACACACACACACTTCATTAATACGATTTGCTTCTTTCTGGAGAGTATTGTACATTTTGGACTTTGGTCTGAAGTTGTGGCGAATTCTCCGTTCTAGCTCCAACTTTGGCTCGATAACCCGAAAATCCAGCTGACCTTCGAAGCCACAGCACAGCAACTCGAAGCGCCGTACAACAGTGATACAGTGCTGGTGCACAGGATACACAGTTACCTGGAGAGACACGGCCTCATCAACTTTGGCATCTACAAGAGAGTCAAGCCTTTACCAAGTGAGTATATTAGCTTTTCACTATCTGCCAGATACAGAAACTTTATGTACAATGCATACACTCATTTAGATATGCACATATTAAACGCACACCAGTAGTACTTATAGGTATTTAGGCATGCATAGACAATGTTTTCCACAAGCACATGGAGTAGCCAGACAAATAGAAAAAGTAGCCAGTCAGGATTAAGACCTTTTTGCTGAACAAGCTTTATTTAGGTGGCCTCTGGTACATCCTAATGCTAGATTGTATTTTCAACCAGCAACTATCAGGAAATAATACAGATCAAATGTTCACACTTTTACAGTGTAAGTAGGTTCATCAGCTGTTGTACAATATGATAAAAACACAGGAAAAACATAATTTTGACCGCACTGGGCCTTTATAGAATCCTGTAATTGTCTGCTGACTTCCACAGGCTTCAATCTTCCTTTTAAAAGGCATTTTCTCAGCTATCTGCAATACAGGTATGATTGAAGAATGAAGCATGTGTTAAACATGGGTTTTGCTACACAGAAAGCAACAGTTGATTACTCCATTGTCAACACTTTGATTAAATCAGTAGACCTTTATCAATATCTGAAAATACCATATATGTATCATTTAGCTTTTAAAACAATTCAATCTGTTTTCTTTTATAATATTTTGGACCAGAGTGAGGCTCTCTCTCCACTAGCCTACCTATTGTTTCTGCAGTAAGGAGGATTCACCATCTGCCTCTGTTTTCATCATTTATCTGCAGATGAGCGACAAAAAGCCTACCAGTATGCAAATGAGGGAGCCAAATGAACAGCTCTCTTACCGATGCAATTCAGTAGGCTACTGACGGGTCACTCACTTTAACGTCACTGTCTGGCAAGTCCTGATGGACTTCATAACAAAAATACAAGTGAGATCTTCAGATTAAATGTCCCGATGCGATACCATGGACATATAACTACGTTGTATGATTTAAGAATTGGCAAGGATATATGAGATCGGTCAGATGGACACCTTTTATAAACTAGTCAAGGTTGCTGTTTGTCAATCGAAGCCCAGTAAATAGCCTTTACGCCTCCACTCCATGGCTGCATATGAAACGCCAGAGTCCAACGGTAACTTTTTTTCTCACTGGCCAAAAATCTACTGGCCCGAACAGAATTTCTACAGGCCCGGACATAGTGTAGTTCTTAAATGCATTGGGGGGGCCTATATGTTGGCAAGCTTTCTCTCTATATTCAGCTATTAATAGGCTACATTTGGTTATTATGATATGTATTAAAAAGCTGTGTAATCATTTTACAATGCAAGTCATTACTCTATTCATTTGAATTGCATTGTATTAATTGCCTTCATTTTGAAAATAGGATGCTGCCCCTTTAAGACAAATTTCCAAAAGAGATATCATAAACTGGGTGGTTTGAGTGCTGATTGGCTGACAGCCATGGTATATCAGACCGTATACCACGGGTATGACAAAACATTTATTTTTACTGCTCAAATTACTTTGGAAACCAGTTGACAAAACATTTATTTTTACTGCTCTAATTACTTTGGAAACCAGTTTATAATAGCAATAAGGCACCTCCACTGAAGAACAGCCCTTAGCCGTGGTATATTGGCCATATACCACACCCCCTCGGGCCTTATTGCTTAATCGACATGGCTACACTAGGCTAGCCAAGAGGAATGCTAGGTGTGTTTTTGTAGCGTTCTTTTTGCAAACTATCAACAGTAGCCAGCATATTGCTAGTATTTTCACTATTGAAGGTTAACTTTTGTAAATCACTTTCCCTAAAATAAATAAGCTCAGTGAGTTGGGTGCTTCTTTTTGTTCTGGACAGCTTGCGTGTGCTGTGTGAAGGCATCAACTCATGTATTGCTCTCGCGGGAGCGTGGTGATGCTTGAATTAACGGCCAATCATATTGCTCAAATACAAATTGCATGACATTTACGCATGTAGTCTTCAATTATTTTCAATGGTAGACTGCGAATGAGCAGGTAAAATGTTCAACCGGAATGCAAAGATGCGCTGAAAAGTTAGTGGCCCTTTTGGGCCAGTGACTGACGAGATCCACTGGCCTGACACATGTTTTTACTGGCCCTGACCAGCGGGCCATTGTTATTTTGGGACCCTGCACGCGAAAGAAAGTAAATGAATGTGCCAGAAAACAATAGGCTAAGTGGATTTTGAATCATCGTTACCACATTATATGGGACGTGCAAATTCATGCTCTCTCCCTCTGTGTAAAGACATTTGACTACAACCACAACACACATAATGCACACATCCAGGTACAGAGAGTCGGGACAGACAGCAGACTGTCAAACCAGCAGTGTTTCCCTGTCATCGCTCACTTTGCCTATCAATAGATCGCTAGAAGATGCATATTGTTCATTCTAGCGGGAGAGGGCTCGGCAGACATTTTTGACTCGCTAATTGAAAAGTAGCCTAGTTAATTTAAGTGGAAAAAGTACCTGGCTGAAAATGTGTCTGTAATGTAAGTAAGCATTTCACTGTAATGTCTGCACCTGTTGTATTCGGCGCATGTGACCAATAAAATTTGATTTGATTTGATTTAATCGGCTGTATAGCCGACAGCCGGTGCTAGTGGAAAACACTGCATATATAGGTGTTTTCCTGAAGCATACCCTCAGATACTGGATGACGTGAAAATAAGTATTTTTTTAGCAATGTGTGTGTCAAAATAACTGGTTATGTGGTAGGGCTGGGAATTGCCAGGGACTTAAAGATACGATTTTATCACGATACATAGGCGCTGATACAACATGTATTACGATTCTATATGTATTGCAATTCGATACTGTAATTTTATTGCGATGAAAAATTGCTCACTATATGTCTGCTGCAGAGAGACAAGAGAAAGAGTTTTGATCCGTCAGGGAAATACAAATGCTGAAAACATGTTGACTCACTATTTAAAAAGAAGATGGAGAACAAGCGATAGGATGAAAAATACCAGAGTTTTGGCACAGGTACAGACGGCTATCGCTAGCTAACGCTACCTAGCAACAAAAAAGAAATGATACCTGGAGCCAAAGTATCAATATAATATCGTCCAAAAATAATATTGCAATATGCAACTATCGATTTCATCCCCCATTACTATGATGTGATTGTCAACCACTCTGGTTTCCCTGTGTCCCTGCAGCAAAGAAGACTGGGAAGGTGATCATCATCGGAGGGGGTGTGTCTGGGCTGGCGGCCGCGCGGCAGCTGCAGAGTTTCGGCATGGACGTGACAGTACTGGAGGCCAGGGTGGGTCAACAGCACATCACATGTCAACACGAGCACAATAAAGAGGGTCATGTACATTGGGGCACACCATAGAAAAACAAATAAAATAATTCTTATTGGATAAGCTCAGATAGTCTGTTTCGCTCCGCCTTTGACCGTTTTCTTCTGTTTTGTGCCAATTGAACACGCCCTACATCTACCCATCAGCTAATCCAGTGATACTGACCAGCCTGGTGTCCTGTTTTGACCTGGTGTAACAGCTAAAGGTTTTCCTCTTCACTGTGGTAGTTGTGTGATATGGTTGTCTCCTCTCAGGACCGCGTTGGGGGGAGAGTGGCCACGTTCCGGAAGGGCAACTACGTGGCTGATCTGGGGGCCATGGTGGTGACGGGACTGGGTAAGGATTAGGGTTGTGAAATTCTGTTAACTCTCCCAAAAATACCAGGTTTTCTGGAAATCCAGATGGGAAGATCCCCGGAATCAGTGGGGAATAAGCATGAAATCCAGGAATCCTCCAACTGGGATTTTTAGAAAACCGGTGAAATTTTACAGAATTTTGCATTCTAGTAAGGATGAACCAGAGACATGCAAACTATTACATACATGTACAGGTGAGGATGTAGATGATTGAAAGTCACGTTGAACAGTCATTTCCAGTTGACCGCAAATTCCTCTCACCTATTATCAAGGAACAATTTACTTTGAATGATCTATTGACTAATACCTCTACTGTGAATTCGTCAGTGTTCCTGCTATGACAGCTTCTCACCAGCAGAGGGTGGTGTTGACCTTTTCAATGTAGTCTCATCAAATGTAGTCTGAATGAAAAGGATTGGACAGGCAAAACAATACTTGTTCACCACTTTTCTCCTATAAAAACTACTATTGGATAGAACGATGAGATTCCACAGATGTGTTTCAAAAGATACCAAGTTTGGTCATATTCAGCTTGTTGTGCGATCATAATATATTTTACATTACATTTTAGTCATTTAGCAGACGCTCTTATTTTCATACTACTCGTCTATTCAGAGTATTTTACTTTAGTCATTTACAGTGCCTTGCAAAAGTATTCATCCCTCTTGGCGTTTTCCTATTTTGTTGCATTACAACCTGTAATTTAAATGGATTTTTATTTGGATTGCATGTAATGGACATACACAAAATAGTCCAAATTGGTGAAGTGAAATGAAAAGACATAACTTCTTTCAAACAATTCTAAAAAATAAATAACGGAAAAGTGGTGCGTGCATATGTATTCACCCCCTTTGCTATGAAGCCCCTAAATAAGATCTGGTGCAACCAATTACCTTCAGAAGTCACATAATTAGTTAAATAAAGTCCACCTGTGTGCAATCTAAGTGTCACATGATCTCAGTATATATATATGTATGTATATATGTGTGTGTATGTATGTGTGTATATATATATATATATAATTATTTATATATATTATTATTTATATATATATATATATATATATATATATATATACACATACATACACATACATACACATATATATGTATACAGTGAGGGAAAAAAGTATTTAATCCCCTGCTGATTCTGCACGTCTGCCCACCGACAAAGACACGATCAGTCCACAATTTCAATGGGAGGTTTATTTGAACAGTGAGAGACAGAACAACAACAAAAAACTCCAGAAAAACGCATGTCAAAAATGCTATAAATTGATTTGCATTTCAAATGAGGGAAATAAGTATTTGACCCCTCTGCAAAACATGATTTAGTACTTGGTGGCAAAACCCTTGTTGGCAATCACAGAGGTCAGACGTTTCTTGTAGTTTGCACCAGGTTTGCACACATCTCAGGAGGGATTTTTTGTCCAACTCCTCTTTGCAGATCTTCTCCAAGTCATTAAGGTTTTGAGGCTGACGTTTGGCAACTCGAGCCTTCTGCTCCCTCCACAGATTTTCTATGGGATTAAGGTCTGGAGACTGGCTAGGCCACTCCAGGACCTTAATGTGCTTCTTCTTGAGCCACTCCTTTGTTGCCTTGGCCGTGTGTTTTGGGTCATTGTCATGCTGGAATACCCATCCACGACCCATTTTCAATGCCCTGGCTGAGGGAAGGAGGTTCTCACCCAAGATTTGACGGTACATGGCCCCGTCCATCGTCCCTTTGATGCGGTGAAGTTGTCCTGTCCCCTTAGCAGAAAAACACCCTCAAAGCATAATGTTTCCACCTCTATGTTTGACGGTGGGGATGGTGTTCTTGGGGTCATAGGAAGCATTCCTCCTCCTCCAAACACGGCGAGTTGAGTTGATGCCAAAGAGCTCGATTTTGGTCTCATCTGACCACAACACTTTCACCCAGTTCTCCTCTGAATCATTCAGATGTTCATTGGCAAACTTCACACGGCCCTGTATATGTGCTCTCTTGAGCAGGGGGACATTGCGGGTGCTGCAGGATTTCAGTCCTTCACGGCGTAGTGTGTTACCAATTGTTTTCTTGGTGACTATGGTCCCAGCTGCCTTGACATCATTGACAAGATCCTCCCGTGTAGTTCTGGGCTGATTCCTCACCGTTCTCATGATCATTGCAACTCCACGAGGTGAGATCTTGCATGGAGCCCCAGGCCGATGGAGATTGACAGTTCTTTTGTGTTTCTTCCATTTGCGAATAATCACACCAACTGTTGTCACCTTCTCACCAAGCTGCTTGGCGATGGTCATGTAGCCCATTCCAGCCTTGTGTAGGTCTACAATCTTGTCCCTGACATCCTTGGAGAGCTCTTTGGTCTTGGCCATGTTGGAGAGTTTGGAATCTGATTGATTGATTGCTTCTAAGAGTGTGCTCCTAATCTCAGCTCGTTACCTGTATAAAAGACACCTGTGAGGCAGAAATCTTTCTGATTGAGAAGGGGTGAAATACTTATTTCCCTCATTAAAATGCAAATCAATTTATAAAAATTTTGACATGCGTTTTTCTGGATTTTGTTGTTGTTATCTGTCTCTCACTGTTCAAATAAACCTACCATTAAAATTATAGACTGATCATTTCTTTGTCAGTGGGCAAACGTACAAAATCAGTAGGGGATCAAATACTTTTATCCCTCACTGTATCATGTGTACTTACATTGCTAATCTTTGGAAAATATACTCCAGAAAACACCAACTGTAGCTTTCTGGTGTGTCCACTTTGAGTGTTCAGACGCTATTTTTCACTGACCCCAGGCCTAAAACTTTAAGCTTAGCACAGCAGTTCTCTGAGCCTGATGCCGAAGTAAGCAAAAAGAGAAAAGCGAGGGAGGATGAAAGTGAAAAGACCTCCAAAGTTATACGCAATAGTCATCATCAAGTGAACTGCCAGGCTAGTAATCAATGACATTCCTTGTAGTTGTAATATAGGCTATGTGATGGTTCTATGGTTGTGTAGGCCTATATCCTGATGTTCTATCTGGTGTGTTCTAGGAGGGAATCCCATGGCAGTGGTCAGTAAGCAGGTCAACATGGAGCTGGCCAAGATTAAACAGAAGTGCCCTCTGTACGAAGCCAACGGTCAAGCTGTGAGTGCTGCATCGCTAACTATTTGGTTAACTTAGTTTACGTTATGAGGTTTAGGCTGCAGTTGAGTGAAATGCCTGCATGTAGATAGAACATTATAAGAAAATGAATTGTCATATTAGGCCTACATTGGCGTGTTGGTGTCTCGTGCAAGCATGCTCGATTTCAGCAGTTGAAATGTCTGCTTACCCCAAACGCAACTTTCTACCATTGTAACCTACTATTGTATACATCACTATTTGGTTCTCGTTCACCCATGTTAACTTGCTCCATTTGTTATTTACCTCCTGTGCTGAACCACTATGTGCTGTGTTAGCAGGGCCCTTCACTTTGTCCGCGGGGTGGATTCATTTAGCCGCTTATCAGGGTGGATTCATTTAGCTGCTTAGCAGGGTGGATTCAGTTAGCCGCTTAGCAGGGTGGATTCATTTAGCCGCTTAACAGGGTGGATTCATTTAGCTGCTTAGCAGGGTGGATTCAGTTAGCCGCTTAGCAGGGTGGATTCAGTTAGCCGCTTAGTAGGGTGTATTCAGTTAGCCGCTTAGCTGGGTATATTCAGTTAGCCGCTTAGTAGGGTGGATTCAGTTAGCCGCTTAGTAGGGTGTATTCAGTTAGCCGCTTAGCAGGGTGTATTCAGTTAGCCGCTTAGCAGGGTGGATTCAGTTAGCCGCTTAGCAGGGTGGATTCAGTTAGCCGCTTAGCAGGGTGTATTCAGTTAGCCGCTTAGCAGGGTGGATTCAGTTAGCCGCTTAGTAGGGTGGATTCAGTTAGCCGCTTAGTAGGGTGGATTCAGTTAGCCGCTTAGCAGGGTGGATTTAGTTGGCCGCTTAGCAGGGTGGATTCAGTTAGCCGCTTAGCAGGGTGGATTCAGTTAGCCGCTTAGCCTAGCATCATCCAACAGCTCAGCCCTCTCCGGGTTGAGACCGGACTCTCCAAATGTAATACTGTTCGACTGGAAATAAACAGCAGTGTCCTTTGTGAACTATTATTTTCTCCCCCCTCTATCAAGCAGCAGTAGGATGTTTGGGGTTATTTTCAGGCCAGGGTTGTATTCATTATGGCAAAACATTTTGCAATGGGAAAATGGAACATGAGCCTTTTTCTTATTAGACAAGTTGAGGTAGTCCCTCCCTGTTTCAGTCCATTTTCTTCCAGTTGGTGCCTAATGAATATGACCCATTTCACAGAGGTGGTAGTCAGGCATAAGGCAGCCGGTCACGCCCCACTCCACGTGCAACTGAGTGTCATTTTCAAGTGTATGTAAATCTGTTCAATGTTAAGTTTGTGTTTGTTTATCTAATTTGTTATTTATTTGACCCCCGGCCTCAATCCCTCCTGCGTTCATCTCCTGGTTCATCTCCTGGCTGACTGCTAAAGGGCGAACGATGCACAAGTGTATGTATTGTTTTGGGATTCTGTTACTACATGATAACATTGTTCACCTATTGTTCATATTAATGTCAAATCAGCTGTCAGTTTCCAATGAAGCAACTGTGTAGTAGACCGTAATAGAACTGGGTCTGTTCTTGAGTGTCTGTCTATGGTTCAGTTGACTGTAGTATGTTTGTAGTCAGTCATTTTTTCCCCTTCCGAATCGATACCTTAATGGTAAACAATACCTCCTAGGTCAGCTTCTCTTTATAGAGAAAATAAGGATTGCTTTCTAAATTGGACCGCCCTCCCTGCTGACCTCATGTTCATGATTGACGTCAAATTGTTAGTATCAAATGCTGTAATCCTATGGTTGATTCTTAACACGTCATTGTATTACTGACTGCTCCCCCAGGTGCCCAAGGAGAAGGATGAGATGGTGGAGCAGGAGTTTAACCGTCTGCTGGAGGCCACCTCCTACCTCAGCCACCAGCTGGACTTCAACTTCCTTAACAACAAGCCTGTGTCTCTGGGACAGGCCCTGGAGGTGGTCATCCAGTAAGTGTTTGGCCCTTTGGCCAGGTAATCTCAGTTAACCCAGAACAATCTAGTGTAATTTGATCAGCCGTGTGATTTAGTTCTGGGTCCATCCATACGTGTTAGAAATTGGGAGTTCCCCTTCAGTTGAAGTGTTTAAGCACCGCTTTCACCCAATCCTGATATGCCCAAATAATCAGTGTGGAAAACCCAAACACCAGAACTACTGCTGCTCATTATCCTACGCATTCCATCCCGTCGCGACAGATTCTTCGATTTACGTGCTGAATCTGTCCACTAGAGATTAACGGCCAAGCAACTTGTACAAATTCTGTGACAGTGGTTGTGTGTTGTTTTTCATTAAAAAAAGTATCCCTCTTTCTCATTGGCACATATAATCACTGATGTGTTCTTTTGTCTGGTAACGTCCAATAGACTGAGGTGTTCTTTTGTCTGGTAATGTCCAATAGGTTGCAGGAGAAACATGTGAAAGATGAGCAGATAGAGCACTGGAAGAAGATAGTCAAGACCCAAGAGGATCTCAAGGAGCTGTTGAACAAGGTGACCATGAGATCCACTGTATCTCAGAGGTCAAAAGAACGATGAGTAGCTTGCGTGTAGATGTACTCTGTCCCTCCTTTTAATCTGTTTTCTCCTCCTTTGTATATCTACCTTTCTCGCTTTCCCTCATTTCGTCAGATGGTGGGTACCAAGGAGAGGGTCAAAGAGCTGTATCAGCAGCACAAGGAGGCCAGCGAGGTCAAGCCCCCCAGAGACATCACCGCCGAGTTCCTGGTCAAGAGCAAGCACCGCGACCTGACTGCACTCTGCAAGGTGAGACCACAAGTCAACCACTCACGTTCTCGGTCACACCACCCTACTGTAGAGGTACAGAGGAAGGATAGATGGAGGTATGGATAAAACTAGATTATGGGATGATTGATGATGTTGGTTTTTGGAGTGGATAGGAACAAAATGGAATTGAAATCCTCATCACCTCAATTGACTTGTTCCGTACAAATGGCTTCAAGCTGCAAGCAGTTAATGCCACATTACTTTGATTACTTTCCTGTTTGCTTAGTTGTTTTTCCAAAACAAACTAATTCCATTCCTGTGAGGTGTGGTACTTTCTCCAGACTCTCACACTGTGTGGATAAGCCATAAATCTAACAGCTGGAGTTGTTAGCAGGAGCAATCACCTATTTCTAGCCTCCAGACACAATTTGATTCAATTAAAGGTGTTCTCAATGTATGTGTTTTGAATCGCATCAATTTTAAGCCACTTTCGTGCGATTATCAGAATATGTTTTCTGTGGACAGGGACTCCCAATAGCAGCTTGACTAGCAGAATGGCCTGCAGCTATAGTAAAGGCCTAGTCTGTATACCTCTCGCTGTTGATTTACTTTCCATGAAGACATTCCATTGTAATTGTTGTGGTTGTTAGTCTCTCCTCCATTCAAGTATTTTCTTGATTTGAGTAAACTAATTTGCAAGGGGAAATATAGAGACTAATGACTATAGCCTACTGTCTGTCACACTATGGCTTCGTTAACACCGGCAGCCTAATTCAGATCGTTGGCCTGTGTCTCTGGGACAGGCCCTGGAGATGGTCATCCAGTAAGTTTTTGGCCCTTTGGCATTGTAATCTCAATCTGTTTTTCATTTTTAAAAAGTATCCCTCTTTCTCAATGGCACATATAATCACTGGTGTGTTCTTTTGTCTGGTAACGTCCAATAGACTGAGGTGTTCTAATTCAGCCTAATTCAGATCGTTTGCCCAAAAGACTAATTAGTGGAAAAATAATCAAGAGTTGGGCTGCCTGTTTTCAACGCAGCCTAAGAGCTTTACCAGAAATAATGTTAGCATAGCAAATGGATAGATTGGATTTGGGCCATTAAGACAAAGACAAAGAAGTGTACTTGATACCTAACTTTCACTTAAGTCCAATTTTCACTCAGCCTCCCATTGACATCAACGCACGACTTAAGTGAGAATTCGACTTAAATAGAATTGTAGGATTTGCCCCATAGAGACAAAAAATGCTATAAGTCGTGACAATGGTATTATCTCTAAGCAAAGCAGAGCGTTTCAGCAGCATGTGTTTGACTGGTCTAATGCCTTGCCTGGTGTGTATAATTTTTTTGCGCAGATAAAGCTTCACCTCAGAAGTGTATTTTCAGGAGGCAAGCGTAAACACAGCTGCTGTCTGAACTTGTCGTCTTTCGGTCGACTGCCTCCTGAAAAAGCAACTTCTAAGGCGTGACTCAGGCTGGTCTGTCTGGTTGGAAATGGTGTACACACACACCACACACACCACACAGAGTGTGTTTGATACACATACAGGCTAGGTCAGGGTCGGGGAAGCCTTGGTCCGAACGCTGTGGGGTTTTAGTTGGACATATTTGTTAGGCCGTGGCTGCAGGGGTAGGTGGTGAAACTGTGGGAAATCTGGATAGGGTGAGTCAGCCCATTAAACTGACTAAGCTGCTGTCCTTCCTACTTGACTTAGAACCTCTTTGGGGGGGTGTGTGCAGCGCAGTACATACATGCCCCTGTTTCCCTTACTATCACTTAGTGTCCAGTACACACACCTCTGTATGTCCCACAGTGCTTATACCTTGCTGTCCCCTGTCTCCTGTAGGAGTATGATGAGCTGGTGGAGTTGCAGGTCAAACTGGAGGAGAAGCTCCAGGAACTGGAGGCCAACCCACCCAGGTAACACTTTAACCCCTCAACTCCACCGTAAAGGCCTGTTGTGGTCCTGTTCTTTAAGCGTGGGCGTGCTGTAGCCTGGGGGCTAGTCTGTTTCTGCTCTCTTGCCAACTCTATATGGAATTGTCATGCCAATGTTTGGCTTTACAATGACAATGGAGTAGGCTAAAGTACAGACAGGTCTGGGACCAGGCTACAGGCAGGTCTGGGACCAGGCCACAGGCAGGTCTGGGACCAGGCCACAGGCAGGTCTGGGACCAGGCCACAGGCAGGTCTGGGACCAGGCCACAGGCAGGTCTGGGACCAGGCCACAGGCAGGTCTGGGACCAGGCCACAGGCAGGTCTGGGACCAGGCCACAGGCAGGTCTGGGACCAGGCCACAGGCAGGTCTGGGACCAGACCCAGGCCACAGGCAGGTCTGGGACCAGACCCAGGCCACAGGCAGGTCTGGGACCAGACCCAGGCCACAGGCAGGTCTGGGACCAGACCCAGGCCACAGGCAGGTCTGGGACCAGGCCACAGGCAGGTCTGGGACCAGGCCACAGGCAGGTCTGGGACCAGGCCACAGGCAGGTCTGGGACCAGGCCACAGGCAGGTCTGGGACCAGGCCACAGGCAGGTCTGGGACCAGGCCACAGGCAGGTCTGGGACCAGGCCACAGGCAGGTCTGGGACCAGGCCACAGGCAGGTCTGGGACCAGGCCACAGGCAGGTCTGGGACCAGGCCACAGGCAGGTCTGGGACCAGGCCACAGGCAGGTCTGGGACCAGGCCACAGGCAGGTCTGGGACCAGGCCACAGGCAGGTCTGGGACCAGGCCACAGGCAGGTCTGGGACCAGGCTAGATGCTCGCATCCATCCGTTCTTTTTTTTAACCCTCTGATAATCTCTCTACAGTGACGTGTACCTGTCGTCCCGGGACAGACAGATCCTCGACTGGCACTTTGCCAACCTGGAGTTCGCCAACGCCACACCCCTCTCCACCCTCTCGCTCAAGCACTGGGACCAGGTATACTCCCACTCACTCATTAAAGTTTGACTCAGTGAAATGAGTTGCATGCATGAAGTAAAATCTGGTCAATTCTGGCAACGGCTAAGAGCGTTGGCGCGCGAGGCTAAACTTGTCAACTGTTTTGCACCAGTAGATACCAGGTTGTAGCATCGTCAGGACAGAGAAGCTACGTCTGGTAAGGCAGGGGTGTGTGTCTATTTGTCAATAACAGCTGGTGCGCGATGTCTAATATTAAAGAAGTCTCGAGTATTGCTCGCCTGAGGTAGAGTACCTTATGATAAGCTGTAGTCCAGACTATCTACCAAGAGAGTTCTCATCTATATTATTTGTAGCCATCTATTTACCACCACAAACCGATGCTGGCACTAAGACCACACTCAATGAGCTGTATAAGGCCATAAACTACAGGACTGTTTTACTAGCACAGGCTGGAATATGTTCCGGGATTCATCCAATGGCATTGAGGAGTATACCACCTCAGTCATCGGCTTCATCAATAAGTGCATCGACGACGTCGTCCCCACAGTGACCGTACGTACATATCCCAACCAGAAGCCATGGATTACAGGCAACATCCGCATCGAGCTAAATGCTAGAGCTGCCGCTTTCAAGGAGCGGGACACTAATCCGGACGCTTATAAGAAATCCCGCTAAGCTCTCAGACGAACCATTAAACAGGCAAAGCGTCAATACAGGGGCCAGACGGATTACCAGGATGTGTACTTAAAGCATGCGCCTTCACTGACATTTTCAACCTCTCCCTGACCGAGTCTGTAATACCTACATGTTTCAAGCAGACCACCATAGTCCCTGTGCCCAAGGAAGCGAAGGTAACCTGCCTAAATTATTACCGCCCCGTAGCACTGACGTCGGTAGCCATGAAGTGCTTTGAAAGGCTGGTCATGGCTCACATCAACAGCATCATCCCGGATACCCTAGACTCACTCCAATTCGCATATCGCCACAACAGATCCACAAATGAAGCAATCGCACTCCACACTGCCCTTTCCCACCTGGACAAAAGGAACACCTATGTGAGAATGCTGTTTATTGACTACAGCTCAGCGTTCAACACCATAGTGCCCACAAAGCTCATCACTAAGCTAAGGACCTTGGGACTAAACACCTCCCTCTGCAACTGGATCCTGGACTTCCTGATGGGCCGCCCCCAGGTGGTAAGGGTAGGCAACAACATGTCTGCCAGGCTGATCCTCAACACTGGGGCCCCTCAGGGGTGCGTGCTTAGTCCCCTCCTGTACTCTGTTCACCCACGACTGCGTGGCCAAACACGACTCCAGCACCATAATTTAGTTTTCTTACGTGACGACACAACAGTGGTAGGCCTGATCACCGACAACGATGAGACAGCCCATAGGGAGGAGGTCAGAGACCTGGCAGTGTGGTGCCAGGACAACACCCTCTCCCTCAATGTGAGCAAGACAAAGGAGATGATCGTGGACTACAGGAAAAGGCAGGCCGAACAGGCCCCCGTTAACATTGACGGGGCTGTAGTGGAGCGGGTCAAGAGTTTCAAGTTCCTTGGTGTCCACATCACCAACAAACTATCATGGTCCAAACACACCAAGACAGTTGTGAAGAGGGCACGACAACACCTTTTCCCCCTCAGGAGACTGAAAATATTTGCGATTGGTCCCCAGGTCCTCAAAAGGTTATACAGCTGCACCATTGAGAGCATCCTGACCGGTTGCATCACCGCCTGGTATGGCAACTGCTCGGCATCTGACCGTAAGGCGCTACAGAGGGTAGTGCTTACGGCCCAGTACATCACTGGGGCCAAGCTTCCTGCCATCCAGGACCTATATACTAAGCGGTGTCAGAGGAAAGGCCAAAAAATTGTCAAAGACTCCAGTCAGCCAAGTCATAGACTGTTCTCTCTGCTACCGCACGGCAAGCGGTACCGGTGTGCCAAGTCTAGGACCAAAAGGCTCCTTAACAGCTTCTACCCCCAAGCCATAAGACTGCTGAACAATTAATCAAATGGCCACCCTGACTATTTACATTATTATTTGTTAAATATTTCTTAACTCTTTATTGGAACTGCATTGTTGGTTAAGGGCTTGTAAGTAAGCATTTCACAGTAAGGTCTACACCTGTTGTATTCGGCACATGTGACAAAAGTTTGATTTGATTTGAAGCACAGATACTCTGTGTGACTGTGTGAGAATCACGCGCATCTCATTATCTACGGTGCTGCTCGTTGCAACGTCATCTCGCTGAGTCTACCTTTTTAAGATTTCTTCTTGCAGTGCATGGGGCTTGCCTTTCCACTAAACCAAACTGTCTTGTCCTGGCACTTCTCTCTCCTAGTATGCACATCCACACTAGATCAGATTTCACCCACCAGAAGAGAGGATGACATCAGTATGCACTTACTAGAAACTGCTATTAGACACCAGGTCCAGTTTAATCTAGGCCATTCAAACCACCAGGCTATAGTCTCCATAAACCACACATAACCAACATTGAGTCTGTTCTAATGTTTTCTAGTCCCTGTAAACCACACAATCCACATTCTGAGCCTTTGACAAATGTAGTGATGTGTTGTGCTGTTTTCTCTCCCCTAGTCCCTGTAAACCATATATAACCCTCTCTCCCTTAGTCTCTGTAAACCATATATAACCCTCTCTCCCTTAGTCCCTGTAAACCATATATAACCCTCTCTCCCTTAGTCCCTATAAACCATATATAACCCTCTCTCCCTTAGTCCCTGTAAACCATATATAACCCTCTCTCCCTTAGTCCCTGTAAACCATATACAACCCTCTCTCCCTTAGTCCATGTAAACCATATATAACCCTCTCTCCCTTAGTCCCTGTAAACCATATATAACCCTCTCTCCCTTAGTCCCTGTAAACCATATATAACCCTCTCTCCCTTAGTCCCTGTAAACCATATATAACCCTCTCTCCCTTAGTCCCTGTAAACCATATATAACCCTCTCTCCCTTAGTCCCTGTAAACCATATATAACCCTCTCTCCCTTATTTAGTCAGCCACCAATTGTGCAAGTTCTCCCACTTAAAAAGATGAGAGGCCTGTAATTTTCATCATAGGTACACGTCAACGATGACAGACAAATTGAGAAAACAAAATCCAGAAAATCACATTGTAGGATTTTTTATGAATTTATTTGCAAATTATGGTGGAAAATAAGTATTTGGTCACCTACAAACAAGCAAGATTTCTGGCTCTCACAGACCTGTAACTTCTTCTTTAAGAGGCTCCTCTGTCCTCCACTCGTTATCTGTATTAATGGCACCTGTTTGAACTTATCAGTATAAAAGACACCTGTCCACAACCTCAAACAGTCACACTCCAAACTCCACTATGGCCAAGACCAAAGAGCTGTCAAAGGACACCAGAAACAAAATTGTAGACCTGCACCAGGCTGGGAAGACTGAATCTGCAATAGGTAAGCAGCTTGGTTTGAAGAAATCAACTGTGGGAGCAATTATTAGGAAATGGAAGACATACAAGACCACTGATAAACTCCCTCGATCTGGGGCTCCACGCAAGATCTCACCCCGTGGGGTCAAAATGATCACAAGAACGGTGAGCAAAAATCCCAGAACCACACGGGGGGACCTAGTGAATGACCTGCAGAGAGCTGGGACCAAAGTAACAAAGCCTACCATCAGTAACACACTATGCCGCCAGGGACTCAAATCCTGCAGTGCCAGACGTGTCCCCCTGCTTAAGCCAGTACATGTCCAGGCCCGTCTGAAGTTTGCTAGAGTGCATTTGGATGATCCAGAAGAGGATTGGGAGAATGTCATATGATCAGATGAAACCAAAATATAACTTTTTGGTAAAAACTCAACTCGTCGTGTTTGGAAGACAAAGAATGCTGAGTTGCATCCAAAGAACACCATACCTACTGTGAAGCATGGGGGTGGAAACATCATGCTTTGGGGCTGTTTTTCTGCAAAGGGACCAGGACGACTGATCCGTGTAAAGGAAAGAATGAATGGGGCCATGTATCGTGAGATTTTGAGTGAAAACCTCCTTCCATCAGCAAGGGCATTGAAGATGAAACGTGGCTGGGTCTTTCAGCATGACAATGATCCCAAACACACCGCCCGGGCAACGAAGGAGTGGCTTCGTTAGAAGCATTTCAAGGTCCTGGAGTGGCCTAGCCAGTCTCCAGATCTCAACCCCATAGAAAATCTTTGGAGGGAGTTGAAAGTCTGTGTTGCTCAGCGACAGCCCCAAAACATCACTGCTCTAGAGGAGATCTGCATGGAGGAATGGGCCAAAATACCAGCAACAGTGTGTGAAAACCTTGTGAAGACTTACAGAAAACGTTTGACCTGTGTCATTGCCAACAAAGGGTATATAACAAAGTATTGAGAAACTTTTGTTATTGACCAAATACTTATTTTCCACCATAATTTGCAAATAAATAAATTAAAAATCCTACAATGTGAATTTCTGGATTTTTTCTCCTCATTTTGTCTGTCATAGTTGACGTGTACCTATGATGAGAATTACAGGCCTCTCTCATCTTTTTAAGTGGGAGAACTTGCACAATTGGTGGCTGACTAAATACTTTTTTTCCCCACTGTATAACCCTCTCTCCCTTAGTCCCTGTAAACCATATATAACCCTCTCTCCCTTAGTCCCTGTAAACCATATATAACCCATGTTTTGTTGTGTTTTCTCTCTCCTGTCCAGGACGATGACTTTGAGTTCACAGGCAGCCACCTGACAGTGAGGAACGGCTACTCCTGTGTCCCTGTGGCTCTGGCCGAGGGCCTGGACATCAAACTGAACACAGCAGTACGACAGGTCCGATACACCGCCTCTGGTAAGTTTACAGGATGTGTGTGGGTAGCTGTCTTTTGTTTGTCAATCTGTGTGTCACTTTTGTTTATGTGTGTGTGTGTGTGTGTGTGTGTTAAACTTATTTGACTAACCATGTGTATATCTCCAGGCTGTGAGGTCATAGCAGTGAACACGCGCTCCACCACCCAGACATTCATATACAAGTGTGACGCGGTGCTGTGCACCCTACCTCTTGGTGTCATGAAGCAACAGCCCCCCGCCGTACAGTTTGTTCCCCCCCTGCCCGAGTGGAAGACCGCAGCTATCCAGAGGATGGGCTTTGGAAACCTCAACAAGGTACAGAACAATCCTCCAATTGGTGTTGTAACACTTTGCGTCTCTGTTATGTTTGGTGTTTGTACTGAGGTGCAAGTCCTTTGGGAGTCCTGCTGCAAAAACAAGGTACTGAAAATCCCTCACACACACATACATACATATACACACACATATACATATATACATACACATATATATATACAGCTCTGGAAAAAATTAAGATAAATTTTTCTTCAATCAGCATCTCTACATGTATGACAGCCATTCCATTCCAGTGTCTGTTGAATTCCAACACAGGCACACCTCATTCTACTGAATTAGGTACTGATTAGGTGATCACCTGAACCAAATCTTATTTAACGAGGAAAAGTATAAAAACCACTGCTGTGGTCATCACTATCCTCTTGCAATAGGACCAGCTGGATGGCAAACACAATGCTAATAGTACCTCAAAAGTAATATTAATCAAAAAATAACTATTGACCATGCCAAAAGAGTTGAAAGGGAAAGTTTTGAGTGAGGAAAAGAAGGGTTCAATTCTGGCTTTACTGGCAGAGGGATACAGTTAGCGTCAGGTTGCTTCCATCCTTAAAATGTCAAAGACTGCGGTTCATAAGAACAAGGTCAAGCAGCAGACATTGGGGACAACAAAGCTACAGACCGGCAGAGGGTCGAAAACGACTCTACTGACCGGGATGACCGCCAACTCATTCGAATGTCACTCAACAACCGTAGGATGACATCAAGTGACCTACAAAAAGAATGGCAAACAGCAGCTGGGGTGAAGTGCACGGCGAGGACGGTTCGAAACAGGCTCCTAGGGGCAGGGCTGAAGTCGTGCAAAGCTCGAAAAAAGCCCTTCATCAATGAGAAGCAAAGAAGAGCCAGGCTGAGGTTTGCAAAAGACCATAAGGATTGGACCGTAGAGGACTGGAGTAAGGTAATCTTCTCTGATGAGTCCAATTTTCAGCTTTGCCCAACACCTGGTTGTCTAATGGTTAGACGAAGACCTGGAGAGGCCTACAAGCCACAGTGTCTCGCACCCACTGTGAAATTTGGTGGAGGATCGGTGATGATCTGGGGGTGCTTCAGCAACGCTGGAGTCGGGCAGATTTGTCTTTGTGAAGGACGCATGAAATAAGCCACGTACAAGGTTGTCCTGGAAGAAGACTTGCTTCCTTTTGCTCTGACATTGTTCCCCAACGCTGAGGATTGGTTTTTCCAGCAGGACAATGCGCCATGCCACACAGCCAGGTCAATCAAGGTGTGGATGGTGGACCACCAGATGAAGACCCTGTCATGGCCAGCCCAATATCCAGACCTGAACCCCATTGAAAACTTCTGGAATGTGATCAAGAGGAAGATGGATGGTCACAAGCCATCAAACAAAGCTGAGCTGCTTGAATTTATGCGCCAGGAGTGGCATAAAGTCACCCAACATCAATGTGAAAGACTGGTGGAGAGCATGCCAAGACGCATGAAAGCTGTGATTGAAAATCAGGGTTATTCCACCAAATATTGATTTCTGAACTCTTCCTAAGTTTACATACACTCAATTAGTATTTGGTAGCATTGCCTTTAAATTGTTTAACTTGGGTCAAACATTTCAGGTAGCCTTCCACAAGCTTCCCACAATAAGTTGGGTGAATTTTGGCCCATTCCTCCTGACAGAGCTTGTGTAACTGAGTCAGGTTTGTAGGCCTCCTTGCTCGCACATGCTTTTTCAGTTCTGCCCACAAATGTTCTATAGGATTGAGGTCAGGGCTTTGTGATGGCCACTCCAATACCTTGAATTTGTTGTCCTTAAGCCATTTTGCCACAACTTTGGAAGTATGCTTGGTGTCATTGTCCATTTGGAAGACCCATTTGCGACCGAGCTTTAACTTCCTGACTGATGTCTTGAGATGTTGCTTCAATATATCCACATAATTTTCCTTCCTCATGATGCCATCTAATTTGTGAAGTGCACCAGTCCCTCCTGCAGCAAAGCACCCCCACAACATGATGCTGCCACCCCCGTGCTTCACGATTGGGATGGTGTTCTTCGGCTTGCAAGCGCTCCCCCTTTTCCTCCAAACATAACAATGGTCATTATGGCCAAACAGTTCTATTTTTGTTTCATCAGACCAGAGGACATTTCTCCAAAAAGTACTATCTTTGTCCCCATGTGCAGTTGCAAACCATAGTCGGGCTTTTTTATGGCGATTTTGGAGCAGTGGCTTCTTCCTTGCTGAGCGGCCTTTCAGGTTATGTCAATATAGGACTAGTTTTTCTGTGGATATAGATACTTTTGTACCTGTTTCCTCCAGCATCTTCACAAGGTCCTTTGCTGTTGTTCTGGGATTGATTTGCACTTTTCGCACCAAAGTACGTTCATCTCTAGAACGCGTCTCCTTCCTGAGCGGTATGACGGCTGCGTGGTCCCATGGAATCATGTAGTAACCAAAAAAGTGTTAAACAAATCAAAATATATTTTATATTTGAGATTCTTCAAATAGCCACCCTTTGCATTGATGACAGCTTTGCACCCTCTTGGCATTCTCTCAACCAGCTTCAGGAAGTAGTCACCTGGAATGCATTTCAATTAACAGGTGTGCCTTCTTAAAAGTTAATTTGTGGAATTTCTTTCCTTAATGCATTTGAGCCAATCAGTTGTGTTGTGACAAGTTAGGGGGGGGGGTATACAGAAGATAGCCCTATTTGGTAAAAGACCAAGTCCATATTATGGCAAGAACAGCTCAAATCAGCAAAGAGAAACGACAGTCCATCATTACTTTAAGACATGAAGGTTAGTCAATACGGAACATTTCAAGAACTTTGAAAGTTTCTTCAAGTGCAGTCGCAAAAACCATCAAGCGCTATGATGAAACTGGCTCTCATGAGGACCACCACAGGAATGGAAGACCCAGAGTTACCTTTGCTGCAGAGGATACGTTCATTAGAGTTTCCAGCCTCAGAAATGGCAGCCCAAATAAATGCTTCACAGAGTTCAAGCAACAGACATCTCAACATCAACTGTTTAGAGGGGACTGTGTGAATCAGGCCTTCATGGTCGAATTGCTGCAAATAAACCACTACTAAAGGACACCAATAATAAGAAGAGACCTGCTTGGACCAAGAAACACGAGCAATGGACATTAGCCCGGTGGAAATTTGTCCTTTGGTCTGGAGTCCAAATTGGAGATTTTTGGTTCCAACTGCCGTATTTTTGTGAGACGCGGTGTGGGTGAACAGACGATCTCCGCATGTGTAGTTCCCACTGTAAAGCATGGAGGAGGTGTTATGGTGTGGGGGTGCTTTGCTGGTGACACTGTCTGTGATTTATTTAGAAATCAAGGCACACTTAACCAGCATGGCTACCACAGTATTCTGCAGCGATACGCCATCCCATCTGGTTTGGGCTTAGTGGGACTATCATTTGTTTTTCAACAGGACAATGACCCAACACACCTCCAGGCTGTGTAATGACTATTTTACCAAGAAGGAGAGTGATGGAGTGCTGCATCAGATGACCTGGCCTCCACAATCCCCTGACCTCAACCAAATTGAGATGGTTTGGGATGAGTCTGACCGCAGAGTGAAGGAAAAGCAGCCAACAAGTGCTCAGCATATGTGGGAACTCCTTCAAGACTGTTGGAAAAGCATTCCAGGTGAAGCTGGTTGAGAGAATGCCAATAGTGTGCAAAGCTGTCATCAAGGCAAAGGGTGGCTATTTGAAGAATCTCAAATATAAATATATATTTTGATTTGTTTACTTTTTTGGTTACTACATGATTCCATATGTGTTATTTCATAGTTTTGATGTCTTCACTGTTACTCTACAATGTAGAAAATAGTAAAAATAAAGAAAAACCCTTGAATGAGTAGGTGTGTCCAAACTTTTGACTGGTACTGTATATACATACATACATACATACATACATACATACATACATACATACATACATACCAATATGTTCTTAAGCGCACTGGACTCCACGTGTATTGGCCAATCAATGAATCACTCCAGTCTTAATTCCAACCCTCAGATGTTCAGACTAACCCATCTTTCCCAGTACATTATCATTTTACTATTTCCTTTTGCAACACATCCTTCTATTTTACTGATTTCTTACGAGGGTCTTGAACCTCTATTTGTACCATTTCTACAGAGATTGCCCTACAAATAAACACTTTACCTAAGAGTATAATCATATTTCCCATTGATTATGGTTTTCCAGATCTCCTAACAGTACTGTTTGTAGGTCCATGTGAACACAAGACATTATGACTTAACAACCACTCCTTGCCCTGATGCCAAAAGCAGTACCAAAATAGATGATCTATTGATGATGATCCCTCATGGCAGTCTGCACAGGGCTGACTGTCCAAAGCCCCATATATTAAGCATTATTTTTGTGGGGAGAATTTTATATAATAGTTTAAATTGAAAAGAAAGGATCGATGCGTAAATTGTGGTTTTGTATAGCAGTTCATAAACCCGTTGCCATGGTATTGGGACATCAAAGAACTGTTCCCAACTGTCTTGAATTTGGTGCAGCATAGTTGTCAAACCTATAGACCCTAACTGAAATTGATATATTTTACGATTTATACAAGTCATTTTAAGCCATGGATGGTTTTTCATTGGAGGCAGACCACCAATTTATTCCTTTTGCTTTTGAGCAATTGCCTCTTCCATTTTTGTGCCAGAGCTGCGATGAGTTGGTTATACTTTTGTATTGAGCATACACATCTCCATACACCTTTTCAATTGCTTGTGTAACAATTTTACAGTCCTTATTTACAATGTCAGTCATAAACATGGTACCTCCCTTATACATTTTATTAGTACATTGGAGTTTAGCCATATTATTTGCGGTTTTATTTGTTCTGGCTTTTCTGGAGGATGAAATTTGGAATTGTAACCAACTCTGTATTGCTTCATTTATAAACAAGGACAAGGTTACCTCTCTCCCCAAAATAGCTATTTATCCTGCTTTATATCAACCCAGAGAGAGAGAGGGAGGGAGGTTGAGTTGGAAGGTGTGCGGGTGAGTGAGTGTTTTGGCAATCTGTTAGTAATCAGATCAGAGTCCTCCTCCACGCTCTCCCCTCTTTTTCTTCCTGAGCCCTGATGTGCATCATCTACTGCAGAGTTTCAATCTGCTAATTCGGCTGCAGCAGAAAATGCTGCATTATTATGCAATGAGAGCTGTTTGTGGTGCCTCGTGGCCACCAGAGGGAGCTCTGTCTCTGGATCACTTGAATGGAGCAACTGTTTCTAATGACAGCGTTTGTATATGAAAAGATTAATGTGCGTGAAATGGGTCTTAAACAACTTCTCACGAATATAGAACAGTCAGTTGGAACCATAGAGATTATATAATTCAGTTGCTTTTAATACTGTGGGTCGGAACGATGTTGAAATGCAGTTGCTCAGACTTCTCACATTTGGTCCGGTTCCAGCTTTCCCTCGGGTGTCTCTTATAAAACATTTCAATTCTGATTCATCTGACACTTCTGGGTTCTTTTTGATTACTAGTGTCATCAGAAAGGCCTAGAGCACATAATTCCCCTTCCTCTGGCTCCCTGCTCCTACCTGTTCTGTTACCTCCCTACAGGGCATCAAACCAGGCTTATTGCCTAATTATTCACTTATATTCGACTCATTGCTCAACTCCAAACTTTGCCTGGGAAACTGTCCTGAATAGACTGACTAGACTCGGGTTGACTGGTATCTGTGTGGTTGTGGGGTGTATTGAGTCACTCATGCTGATGTTGTGTGTCCCTCCCGTCACCAGGTGGTGCTGTGCTTTGACCGTGTGTTCTGGGACCCCAGTGTGAACCTGTTTGGTCATGTGGGCAGCACTACAGCCAGCAGGGGAGAACTCTTCCTCTTCTGGAACCTCTACAAAGGTGAGTAGGGCTGGGCGATATGGCCAAAATATGTCACGGCCCCCCAAAAATATTAGACAGTATTTTCTGTTTTTGAATAATACAAGTTCGAAATGTGCTTTATGAGTAGTGCGTGACCCTAGGGTGGCATCAAATCAAATTGTATTTGTCACATACACGTGTTTAGCAGATGTTATAGCGGGTGTAGCAAAATGCTTGTGCTTCTAGCTCCGACAGTGCAGTAATATCTAACAATTACACAACATATACCCAATACACACAATAAAGTAAGGAATGGGATTTAAGAATGTATACATACAGTGGGGAGAACAAGTATTTGATACACTGCCGATTTTGCAGGTTTTCCTACTTACAAAGCATGTAGAGGTCTGTAATTTTTATCATAGGTACACTTCAACTGTGAGAGACGGAATCTAAAACAAAAATCCAGAAAATCACATTGTATGATTTTTAAGTAATAATTTGCATTTTATTGCATGACATAAGTATTTGATGCATCAGAAAAGCAGAACTTAATATTTTGTACAGAAACCTTTGTTTGCAATTACAGAGATCATACGTTTCCTGTAGGTCTTGACCAGGTTTGCACACACTGCAGCAGGGATTTTGGCCCACTCCTCCATACAGACCTTCTCCAGATCCTTCAGGTTTCGGGGCTGTCGCTGGGCAATACGGACTTTCAGCTCCCTCCAAAGATTTTCTATTGGGTTCAGGTCTGGAGACTGGCTAGGCCACTCCAGGACTTTGAGATGCTTCTTACGGAGCCACTCCTTAGTTTCCCTGGCTGTGTGTTTCGGGTCGTTGTCATGCTGGAAGACCCAGCCACGACCCATCTTCAATGCTCTTACTGAGGGAAGGAGGTTGTTGGCCAAGATCTCACGATACATGGCCCCATCCATCCTCCCCTCAATACGGTGCAGTCGTCCTGTCCCCTTTGCAGAAAAGCATCCCCAAAGAATGATGTTTCCACCTCCATGCTTCACGGTTGGGATGGTGTTCTTGGGGTTGTACTCATCCTTCTTCTTCCTCCAAACACGGCGAGTGGAGTTTAGACCAAAAAGCTCTATTTTTGTCTCATCAGACCACATGACCTTCTCCCATTCCTCCTCTGGATCATCCAGATGGTCATTGGCAAACTTCAGACGGGGCTGGACATGCGCTGGCTTGAGCAGGGGGACCTTGCGTGTGCTGCAGGATTTTAATCCATGACGGCGTAGTGTGTTACTAATGGTTTTCTTTGAGACTGTGGTCCCAGCTCTCTTCAGGTCATTGACCAGGTCCTGCCGTGTAGTTCTGGGCTGATCCCTCACCTTCCTCATGATCATTGATGCCCCACGAGGTGAGATCTTGCATGGAGCCCCAGACCGAGGGTGATTGACCGTCATCTTGAACTTCTTCCATTTTCTAATAATTGAGCCAACAGTTGTTGCCTTCTCACCAAGCTGCTTGCCTATTGTCCTGTAGCACATCCCAGCCTTGTGCAGGTCTACAATTTTATCCCTGATGTCCTTACACAGCTCTCTGGTCTTGGCCATTGTGGAGAGGTTGGAGTCTGTTTGATTGAGTGTGTGGACAGGTGTCTTTTATACAGGTAAAGAGTTCAAACAGGTGCAGTTAATACAGGTAATGAGTGGAGAACAGGAGGGCTTCTTAAAGAAAAACTAACAGGTCTGTGAGAGCCGGAATTCTTACTGGTTGGTAGGTGATCAAATACTTATGTCATGCAATAAAATGCAAATTAATTACTTAAAAATCATACAATGTGATTTTCTTGATTTTTGTTTTAGATTCCGTCTCTCACAGTTGAGGTGTACCTATGATAAATATTACAGACCTCTACATGATTTGTAAGTAGGAAAACCTGCAAAATCGGCAGTGTATCAAATACTTGTTCTCCCCACTGTATATGGACAAGCAATGACAGAGCGGCATGGACTAAGATACAGAAGAATATTATAGAATAGAATGCAGTATATACATATGAGATGAGTAGTGCAAGATATATAAACATTATTCAAGTGACTAGTGTTCCATTTCTTAAAGTGGCCAGTGATTTCAATAGGCAGCAGCAGCCTCTAATGTGCTAGTGATGGCTATTTAACAGTCTGATGGCCTTGAGATAGAAGCTGTTTTTCATTCTCTCGGTCCCAGCTTTGATGCACCTGTACTGACCTCGCCTTCTGGATGGTAGCGGGGTGAACAGGCAGTGGCTCGGGTGGTTGATGTCCTTGATTATCTTTTTGGCCTCCCTGTGACATCGGGTGCTGTATGTGTCTTGGAGGGCGGGTAGTTTGCCCCCTGGTAATGCGTTCGGCAGACCGCACCACCCTCTGGAGAGCCCTGCAGTTGTGGGCGGTTCAGTTGCCGTACCAGGCGGTGATACAGCCCGACAGGATGCTCTCAATTGTGCATCTGTAAAAGTTTGAGGGTTTTAGGGGCCAAGCCAAATTTCTTCTGCCTCCTGAGGTTGAAGAGGCTCTGTTGCGCCTTCTTCACCACACCATCTGCGTGGGTGGACCATTTCAGTTTGTCGGTGATGTGTACGCCAAGAAACTTGAAGTTTCCACCTTCTCCACTGCGGTCCCGTTGATGTGGATAGGGGGGTGATTTCAATGGGTCTTTCCCACTGTTCAATTCAACCGTTCCCCCCCAAAATTAAGCATTTTCATCAATTTTTGCATTTCCTGCACTCATTTAAGATAATTTCCACACTGCCACGTAGGGCTGCACGATATGGTCAAATAATCTAGGCCTTATTTTTAACTAAATGTTGCAATTGTGATTTGACTTGTGAATTAGAGCAAAACACTTGCGTGAACTGTTGGAATTATGGAAATTGAATGATTATTCCAATTCTATAGTTAGAATATAATAATGGGCACTTTGAATAGTGTTTGACATGACGACAAATGAAAATGCCAGGGAGGAGTTATTGTGACAGGGTAGGAACCGAAGTGTTGACAAGTGTTTCCTAGGGGACTCTCTAATCTATGGCTACATTGAATGTTTTCTCTTAGCTACTTCATGTAGCTAACATATTCTTGTTTCGCGTATTCCTCTTTGATTTAGAAGATACTGTTGCACAAACAACATGCAGATGTAGGACTACACCATCACTGGTATTATCAGGCTGTATAGCTAGTTACATTTGCTCTGACTCAGTCCATTTATTAGCTAGCTAGCGATTAGTATTAGCAATTAGCGGCTAACAAGGTTTAGGCCCAACTTACTAAGAAAATACAAACTAGCTGTTTGCAGATGTAAGAAACACAAACTAATAGTGTAATTATATTACGCTAGTGGATTTATATTAAGAAGCAAGTTGAAAACAGCATCGTTGTCATCAACATTGTTGCATGTGCTGCAATGACCATGCAGAGACTGAACAGGAGTCTCGTGCTCTAGGAACAACATGGAGGGAGAGTGGAGAGAGATGAATCAAGTAGCGAAGTAAACTATAAACATGGACGTTACACACGGCATATCACATTTAACAAACCAAACATTCAAATACCGTTATAGAAGGTAAAGTAAAAACCCAAACCGGTCCGTGCATCAACACCGGTATATTGTAAAATACGGTATACGGCCCAGCTCTAAAGATGAGCACAGTGAACCAGTCAATTCTCTCTGAACTGTGATGGGCCTAATTTGACTTTTTCTTTTGTTTTTAATAGTCTATCCTTTCATCTCCTTCATTGCACTGATCAGAAAGAACTGACCAGGTGAAAGCCAGCCTGATGATAAGCTTCCTCCACCATTTAGTTGTAAATTGTAACGTCTTCTCCCGTGCAGATAAAGGGGAGGAAACAGGGAGAGGATGGATTTAGAAGCAACTGAGTTAGAGACGTGGTGATATTTGGATGTAGTCACTCATTTTGACTTGGGACAGAATTTCCTTCTCTGAATGAACACGACTACATTTTCACAGTGGTGGAAAAAGTACTCAATTGTCATACTTGAGTAAATGTAAAGATATCTTAATAGAAAATGACTCATGTAAAAGAGAAAGTCACGCATTAAAATACTACTTGAGGTAAAGTATAAAAATATCTGGTTTTAAATATACACTACCATTCAAAAATTTGGGGTCACTTAGTAATGTCCTTGTTTTCGAAAGAAAAGCAATTTTTTGTCCATTAAAAGAACATCAAATTGATCAGAAATACAGTGTAGACATTGTTAATGTTGTAAATGGCTATTGTAGCTGGAAACTGCTGATTTGTAATGGAATATCTACACAGGCGTACAGAGGCCCATTATCAGCAACCATCAGTCCTGTGTTCCAATGGCACGTTGTGTTTGCTAATCCAAGTTTATCATTTTAAAAGGCTAATTGATCATTAGAAAACCCTTTTGCAATTATGTTAGCACAGCTGAAAACTGTTGTGCTGATTAAAGAAGCAATACAACTGGCCTTCTTGTGACTAGTTGAGTATATGGAGCATCAGCAATTGTGGGTTTGATTACAGGCTCAAAATGGCCAGAAATAACTTTCTTCTGAAACTCGTCAGTCTATTCTTGTTCTGAGAAATGAAGGCTATTCCTTTCGAGAAAATGCCAAGAAACTGAAGCACTCGTACAACGCTGTGTACTACTCCCTTCACAGAACAGCGCAAACTGTCTCTAACCAGAATAGAAAGAGGAGTGGGAGGCCCTGGTGCACAACTGAGCAAGATGAGAAACAGACGCCTCATAGGTCCTCAACTGGCAGCTTCATTAAATAGTACCCGCAAAACACCAGTCTCAACGTCAACAGTGAAGAGGCAACTCCGGGATGCTGACCTTCTAGGCAGAGTTGCAAAGAAAAAGCCATATCTCAGACTGGCCAATAAAAATAAAAGATTAAGATAGGCAAAAGAACACAGACACTGGACAGAGGAATATTGGAAAAAAGTTATGGACAGACAAATGTGTTTGGATCACAAAGAAGAACATTTGTGAGATGCAGACCAAATGAAAAGATGCTGGAGGAGTGCTTGATGCCATCTGTCAAGCATGGTGGAGGCAATGTGATGGTCTGGGGGTGCTTTGGTGGTGGTAAAGTGGGAGATTTGTACAGGGTAAAAGGGATCTTGAAGAAGGAAGGCAATCACTCCCATTTTGCAACGCCATGCCATACCCTGTGGACGGCGCTTGATTGGAGCCAACAAGGACAATGACCCAAAGCAAAGCACAGTCACCGGATCTCAACCCTATTGAGCTGTTGTGGGAGCAGCTTGACCGTATGGTACGTAGGAAGTGCCCATCAAGCCTATCCAACTTGTGGGAGGTGCTTCAGGAAGCATGGGGTGAAATCTCTTCAGATTACCTCAACAAATTGACAACTAGAATGCCAAAGGTCTGCAAGGCTGTAATTGCTGCAAATGGAGGATTCTTTGACGAAAGCAACGTTTGAAGGACACAATTATTATTTCAATTAAAACTAATTATTTCTAACCTTTTCAATGACTACATTTCCTATTCACTTTGCTATATTTCCTATTCAAACTAATTTCATGTATGTTTTCATGGAAAACAAGGACATTTCTAAGTGACCCCAAACTTTTGAACGGTAGTGTATTTAAGTACAGTGGTGGGAAAAGTACTTAATTGTCATACTTGAGTAAAAGTAAATGCCATATATCATATTCCATAGATTAAGCAAACCAGACGGCACAATTGTCTTGCTGCTTTCTTTACAGATAGCCAGGGGCACACTCCAACACTCAGACATCATTTACAAACGCAGTATTTGTGTTCAGTAAGTCCACCATAACAGAGGCAGTTGGGATGACAGAGCGTTACATTGATAAGTCCGTGAATTGGTACCATATTGCTGTCCTGCCTGAGCATTTGAAATGTAACGAGTACTTTTGGGTGTCTGGGAAAATGTATAAAGTACAGATTTTCTTTAGGAATGTAGGGGAGTAAAAGTTGTCCAAAATATAAATAGTAAAGTACAGATACCCCACAAAACGACTTAATTGGTACTTCAAAGTATTTTTACTTAGTTACTTTACACAACTGCATTTTCACATGCCTTTTTGACAGTGTTACTGCGAAATTGACCCATGTGTTTTTTTCCCCATCCCAGCCCCCATACTGCTGGCGCTGATGGCCGGAGAGGCGGCCGGCATCATGGAGAACATCAGCGACGACGTTATTGTTGGACGCTGCCTCGCCATCCTTAAAGGTATCTTCGGAAGCAGCGCAGTACCTCAGGTATGTGTGAATTTGCTTGTTTTGTACATAAAAATATGGCCGCCACCGGTCCTCCCATCACGGAACGTAGACTTGAATCGTAATATCCGTTCTAGTTATTTTATTTATATACACTGCTCAAAAAAATAAAGGGAACACTTAAACAACACAATGTAACTCCAAGTTAATCACACTTCTGTGAAATCAAACTGTCCACTTAGGAAGCAACACTGATTGACAATACATTTCACATGCTGTTGTGCAAATGGAATAGACAACAGGTGGAAATTATAGGCAATTAGCAAGACACCCCCAATAAAGGACTGGTTTTGCAGGTCGTGACCACAGACCACTTCTCAGTTCCTATGCTTCCTGGCTGATGTTTTGGTCACTTTTGAATGCTGGCGGTGCTTTCACTCTAGTGGTAGCATGAGACGGAGTCTACAACCCACACAAATGGCTCAGGTAGTGCAGCTCATCCAGGATGGCACATCAATGCGAGCTGTGGCAAGAAAGTTTGCTGTGTCTGTCAGCGTAGTGTCCAGAGCATGGAGGCGCTACCAGGAGACAGGCCAGTACATCAGGAGACGTGGAGGAGGCCGTAGGAGGGCAACAACCCAGCAGCAGGACTGCTACCTCCGCCTTTGTGCAAGGAGGAGCAGGAGGAGCACTGCCAGAGCCCTGCAAAATGACCTCCAGCAGGCCACAAATGTGCATGTGTCTGCTCAAACGGTCAGAAACAGACTCCATGAGGGTGGTATGAGGGCCCGACGTCCATAGGTGGGGGTTGTGCTTACAGCCCAACACCGTGCAGGACGTTTGGCATTTGCCAGAGAACACCAAGATTGGCAAATTCGCCACTGGCACCCTGTGCTCTTCACAGATGAAAGCAGGTTCACACTGAGCACGTGACAGTCTGGAGACGCCGTGGAGAACGTTCTGCTGCCTGCAACATCCTCCAGCATGACCGGTTTGGCGGTGGGTCAGTCATGGTGTGGGGTGGCATTTCTTTGGGGGGCCGCACAGCCCTCCATGTGCTCGCCAGAGGTAGCCTGACTGCCATTAGGTACCGAGATGAGATCCTCAGACCCCTTGTGAGACCATATGCTGGTGCGGTTGGCCCTGGGTTCCTCCTAATGCAAGACAATGCTAGACCTCATGTGGCTGGAGTGTGTCAGCAGTTCCTGCAAGAGGAAGGCATTGATGCTATGGACTGGCCCGCCCGTTCCCCAGACCTGAATCCAATTGAGCACATCTGGGACATCATGTCTCGCTCCATCCACCAACGCCACGTTGCTCCACAGACTGTCCAGGAGTTGGCGGATGCTTTAGTCCAGGTCTGGGAGGAGATCCCTCAGGAGACCATCCGCCACCTCATCAGGAGCATGCCCAGGCGTTGTAGGGAGGTCTAAGGCACTGCATCGCAGTGCTAACTGTGCCACTAGAGATCCTGGTTCGAATCCAGGCTTTGTCGCAGCCGGCCGCGACCGGGAGACTCATGGGCGGCGCACAATTGGCCCAGTGTCGTCCAGGGTAGGGGAGGGAATGGCCGGCAGGGATGTAGCTCAGTTGATAGAGCATGGTGTTTGCAACACCAGGGTTGTGGGTTCGATTCCCACGGGGGGCCAGTATAAAAAAAAAAAAAAAAAAAATGTATTCACTAACTGTAAGTCGCTCTGGATAAGAGCGTCTGCTAAATGACTAAAATGTAAATGTAAATACAGGCACGTGGAGGCCACACACACTACTGAGCCTCATTTTGACTTGTTTTAAGGACATTACATCAAAGTTGGATCAGCCTGTAGTGTGGTTTTCCACTTTAATTTTGAGGGTGACTCCAAATCCAGACCTCCATGGGTTGATACATTTGATTTCCATTGATAATTTTTGTGTGATTTTGTTGTCAGCACATTCAACTATGTAAAGAAAAAAGGATTTTAATAAGATTATTTCATTCATTCAGATCTAGGATGTGTTATTTTAGTGTTCCCTTTATTTTTTTGAGCTCCAACCACCAGTCAAATACATCATGAAAAACGTGTCATATGTAGTTATTCATGTTGGTTAGGGTTGGAACTGTTTAGTGTTTCCCAACCACGTTTACTGGAATCTAATATCGGCATGGAAACTCGCCGCTTTCTGTTTGTCACGGCAGCCCAAGGAAACGGTGGTGACTCGTTGGCGTGCCGACCCCTGGGCGCGGGGCTCCTACTCGTACGTGGCGGCCGGTTCCTCCGGTAACGACTATGACCTCATGGCCCAGCCCATCACACCTGGCCCTGCCATCCCCGGAGCGTCACAGGTAACCACTAACACATGGGACCACTAAGAAATACGATACATTGCGAGACAGTTTCCCAGATACAAATTAAGCCTAGTCCTGGGTCAATAAGTACGCTCAGTGGAAAACACATACACTACATACTACGCTGTACTACTCTATACCACTTTGTACTCTGCTTTGGGATTAAGGCTGTAAACACTACATACATAAAAATAGCTGCAAGCAGCAATGCTGGGGTTACGCTATGTGTCCACTGTGCCACGATCAGGGAAAATGTATCACTTTGCCCTAGGACGAGTTACTTCTGTAATGTTTACCACACTTGCCAAATATCAGAATTCAAAATCAAACTGATCATGAAATTAATTGCATGATCAGTTTGATTTTGAAGTATTTTTGACCATTTTCAATGATGCTGACGACTTTAAAAGTCTTATTCTCCAGAACCACTGGACCAATCGGCACCAAATTTGGCATATAGCATCTATGGATGCACATCTTCAAACGCAAAACTCTGGCTGAAACAATATGGCCGCTCTGAGCCAACATTGTTTTTTCCTGTCCGACAGCGCCACAATGTGGACGAACTCAACCATACTTTACAGGTTAGCTAGACTCATGTCCTTGAGCATGTGTGCCAAATTCCATCACTCTGAGTCAGACAGATCAAGAGATATAGAAATGTGCTCGTTATTGCGCCACCGTGTGGTCGATCTGTATGTACTTGCATATGTTAAGTTTGCAGCATGTGTACCAAGTTTTATTACGATTCGAATATCCGTGACTGATTTATAGGCATATACAGTGGGGAGAACAAGTATTTGATACACTGCCGATTTTGCAGGTTTTCCTACTTACAAAGCATGTAGAGGTCTGTAATTTTTATCATAGGTACACTTCAACTGTGAGAGACGCAATCTAAAACAAAAATCCAGAAAATCACATTGTATGATTTTTAAGTAATTCATTTGCATTTTATTGCATGACATAAGTATTTGATAAAGCATAACTTAATATTTGGTACAGAAACCTTTGTTTACAATTACAGAGATCATAAGTTTCCTGTAGGTCTTGACCAGGTTTGCACACACTGCAGCAGGGATTTTGGCCCACTCCTCCATACAGACCCTCTCCAGATCCTTCAGGTTTCGGGGCTGTCGCTGGGCAGTACGGACTTTCAGCTCCCTCCAAAGATTTTCTATTGGGTTCAGGTCTGGAGACTGGCTAGGCCACTCCAGGACCTTGAGATGCTTCTTACGGAGACACTCCTTACTTGCCCTGGCTGTGTGTTTCGGGTCGTTGTCATGCTGGAAGACCCAGCCACGACCCATCTTCAATGCTCTTACTGAGGGAAGGAGGTTGTTGGACAAGATCTCGCAATACATGGTCCCATCCATCCTCCCCTCAATACGGTGCAGTCGTCCTGTCCCCTTTGCAGAAAAGCATCCCCAAACAATGATGTTTCCACGTCCATGCTTCACGGTTGGGATGGTGTTCTTGGGGTTGTACTCATCCTCCTTCTTCCTCCAAACACGGCGAGTGGAGTTTAGACCAAAAAGCTCTATTTTTGTCTCATCAGACCACATGACCTTCTCCCATTCCTCCTCTGGATCATCCAGATGGTCATTGGCAAACTTCAGACGGGCCTGGACATGCGCTGGCTTGAGCAGGGGGACCTTGCGTGCGCTGCAGGATTTTAATCCATGACGGCGTAGTGTGTTACTAATGGTTTTCTTTGAGACTGTGGTCCCAGCTCTCTTCAGGTCATTGACCAGGTCCTGCCGTGTAGTTCTGGGCTGATCCCTCACCTTCCTCATGATCATTGATGCCCCACGAGGGGAGATCTTGCATGGAGCCCCAGACCGAGGATGATTGACCGTCATCTTGAACTTCTTCCATTTTCTAATAATTGCACCAACAGTTGTTGCCTTCTCACCAAGCTGCTTGCCTATTGTCCTGTTGTCCTTGTGCAGGTCTACAATTTTATCCCTGATGTCCTTACACAGCTCTCTGGTCTTGGCCATTGTGGAAAGGTTGGAGTCTGTTTGATTGAGTGTGTGGACAGGTGTCTTTTATACAGGTAACGAGTTCAAACAGGTGCAGTTAATACAGGTAATGAGTGGAGAACAGGAGGGCTTCTTAAAGAAAAACTAACAGGTCTGTGAGAGCTGGAATTCTTACTGGTTGGTAGGTGATCAAATACTTATGTCATGCAATAAAATGCAAATTCATTACTTAAAAATCATACAATGTGATTTTCTGGATTTTTTTAGATTCCGTCTCTCACAGTTGAAGTGTACCTATGATAAAAAGTACAGACCTCTACATGCTTTGTAAGTAGGAAAACCTGCAAAATCGGCAGTGTGTCAAATACTTGTTCTCCCCACTGTATGTGCGCTCCCACGTGAAATGTTTATTGGTCAATGTTGTTTTAGGGAAAGGGGATACCTAGTCAGTTGCACAACTGAAATGCATTCAACCGAAATGTGTCTTACGCATTTAACCCAACCCCTCTGAATCAGAGAGGTGCGGGAGATGCCTTAATCGACGTCCACGTCATAGGCGCCCGGGGAGCAGTTGTTGTTGGAGGTTAACTGCCTTGCTCAAGGGCAGAATGGCAGATTTTTCCACCTTGCCGGCTTGGGGATTTGAACCAGCAACCTTTTCGTTACTGGCCCAACGCTCTAAACCGCTAGGCTACCTGCCGCCCTAGTCTGGAAAATATTGCATTGAGAGACCTTTGTCCATAGATACCACATCAACTTTCGTGCAGATCGGTCATTTGGTGCCAGAATAATTTTTTTAAAGTGTTTATCACAAAATTCAAAATGGTGGAAAATCCATCATGGCGGACCTGAGGAATCGGTATTATAATAATAATAATAATGAACCAAAGGATTGACAGCCGTCCCATATAGATTGCAAAATAGTTGGGAAGAGATTTTTGACGTACCGATTCCATGGCATAGTGTTTATGAATTGATACGCAAAACGACGCCGGATTCAAAACTTTAAATTATTATATAAAATTCTTGCTACCAATAGAATGTTATTTATATGGGGGATACAATCTTCCCAGCTCTGCAGATTTTGCTGCGGAGAGACAGAATCATTAGATCATTTGTTTTGGTACTGTCCATTTGTAGCTTGTTTTTGGACACAGGTCCAGGAATGGCTAAAGGATTGCAATATTTACCTGGAGCTAACCCTGCAGATAGCACTACTGGGTGATCTGAAAAGTCATAGTCAATCGATCAATAATATAATAATACTTTTAGCAAAAATGTTTATTTTCAATTTATGATCTGTAGAAACAATGAGAATAGAAAGGTTCAGAACTTTTGTAAAACATCACAGTACAGTTGAAAAATATATGGCAAATAGAAATCCAATATGGATGGTGTTAAGAGATAGATGTGAGGTGTTGAATGGAGCTGAAGGATGGGACTAATAACAACAACTAATAACAACAAGAACTAATGTAAAGCATACTGTGTCCATAATACGTATATAGGTTATAGGTTGAGAGCTTTTGTGAAAGAGCACAGTTAGAAAAATATGGCATGTAGAAGCAAACCAGATGGACGTCATGAAAATGATCGGAGGAAGTTCAGGAGTAAAAAGAAACAAAATATAATTATTGTAGAATTTGACTGTGTCCATAAAATGTATATAGTATGTATGGGCTGGAAGTAGAGGCCTAAGTGTTGTTGTTCACTAGTTTACTCCAATTGGGGAAGGGGTGGTGGGGTTGGAAAGTAATTAAGGGAAATATAATTTAAAAAAGGATGTGTGTGTGTATGGATGTATGTATGTACAGTGAGGGAAAAAAGTATTTGATCCCCTGCTGAAAAAAGTATTTGATCCCCTGCATGATCAAGTTTAATGGTAGGTTTATTTGAACAGTGAGAGACAGAATAACAACAAAAAAATCTTGGTGACTATGGTCCCAGCTGCCTTGAGATCATTGACAAGATCCTCCCGTGTAGTTCTGGGCTGATTCCTCACCGTTCTCATGATCATTGCAACTCCACGAGGTGAGATCTTGCATGGAGCCCCAGGCCGAGGGAGATTGACAGTTATTTTGTGTTTCTTCCATTTGCAAATAATCGCACCAACTGTTGTCACCTTCTCACCAAGCTGCTTGGCGATGGTCTTGTAGCCCATTCCAGCCTTTTGTAGGTCTACAATCTTGTCCCTGACATCCTTGGAGAGCTCTTTGGTCTTGGCCATGGTGGAGATTTTGGAATCTGATTGATTGATTGCTTCTGTGGACAGGTGTCTTTTATACAGGGAACGAGCTGAGATTAGGAGCACTCCCTTTAAGAGTGTGCTCCTAATCTCAGCTCTTTACCTGTATAAAAGACACCTGGGAGCCAGAAATCTTTCTGATTGAGAGGGGGTGAAATACTTATTTCCCGCATTAAAATGCCAATCAATTTATAACATTTTTTACATGCATTTTTCTGGATTTTTTTGGTTGTTATTCTGTCTCACTGTTCATATAAACCTACCATTAAAATTATAGACTGATCATTTCTTTGTCAGTGGGCAAACTTACAAAATCTGCAGGGGATCAAATACTTTTCCCTCACTGTATGTGTATGTATGTATATATATATTTGCGAGTGAAAAAAACATATGGGGGATTGGAAGTGATGCAGACAATTACATTGATGGAAGTTACAATCTATCTGAAATAGTAAAGCTGATCTACCCCCTAAAAATAAAAAATAAAAATAAAAATATATATAATGAACCAGAACAAAAGCAATAGGGTTTCACCTATTAACACATTCCACTACTTTTTCTGTACTCTACTGGCATCCCACTTTTGATTGGTGTGCAGTGAATGGAGTGGTAAAGGCCCTAAGCATGTTGTCTTTATTCATAAAGAGTGTAAAGCCCCCATCTATTAAATCATCAGAATCCCCTCATCGCTCTAAGCCAATGAGAATACTGTAATTTATCACACGCCAGAAAGCTGTTCTGCGTGTTTTTATAAAAAAAAAAAACATTTGCCCGATCTCATTCACGAAACGACCAGAGCATGTTCGCAAATCTCATCCTCCTTAGCCAACCCACATTTATTGGACTAAACCGAGTCGTTCCCGAGATGTTTTAGGGTCGTTTTGATGTTGAAACACTGATTAATGGGAACAGTCATATTTCTGTGTTGGCTGATGAGTTTGTCGTTTTGATGTTTGTCATTTCTTTCTTTCCCCCCTTTCCTTCGCAGCCCGTCCCACGTCTGTTCTTCGCTGGCGAGCACACTATCCGGAACTACCCGGCCACGGTGCACGGCGCTTTGCTCAGCGGCCTGCGAGAGGCGGGACGCATCGCAGACCAGTTCCTGGGTGCCATGTACACCCTCCCCCGACAGGCCACGCCCACCGCCGCCCCTCAGCCCTCCCCCAGCGTCTAGAACCCTGCCCCTTTATAACAATGTCCTTCCATGTTCAAGTGATGTCAGTGACTCCTAACTAAGATGTAAACAATGTGCCTGTCATTTTGTGTTAATGTTTAACCACAATTCGATGTTACTGGGCAAACAAACAGTGGAACTACCACTGTACATTCCCAAAGGACCGAGCCAGCACCAGTCATGTCTCTGGCACATCTCTTATCCTGTATCGTTCCCTCTCATCCACCTCATAACTCAGTCAATGCAGTCCTCATAGCTGATGCACTTAGGTGGAACCTGCAATGGAACTCTCAGCTGGTTTAGTGTTCCTTCCATTGCCGCTAGTTAACCATAGTGCTGTTTGAGCAGGCTAGGCCCATGCTAGGATCTGGTTGTTGAAGGTAAAGAAAGCCTCTTTGGAAGGACAGATCTAGTTCTGGTTCCCACTTCCCAGTCTTATTCCAGTAGGATGACACTACATTAGGTGTCATGGCCATCCCCGTTCCACTTCTTCGTCACCCAGCCCGGGACTTGAACCAGCAACCTTCCTGTTACTGGTCCACCTCCTCTGGGCTATCTAGCATTAAATGGATGGAGGGGCTGAAGAGAAAGACCAGCAGCCAATGGAATCCAGAAAAACAGACAATGAGCCACAGAGGACAGCCAATCACGCGCTGCTCCCTCCAACCCTAACGTACTGTACCGGGTAGGTCTGCTAGCCAGCATCAACACCGTAGCACTGTTTCACTCCCATTGAAACATGTTGTGTTTTTCTATTAAAAGTATGCTAGCTGCTGCGATGTTGTAGCCTACAAGTGCATTGTATTGATTGTTTTAAGGCTAATGTCGCTAATGTTAGTTGTATGCCTGCTACTGAATAGGACCTGTACCATGTAGGGTATGATGCATAGAAGAGTAGTGGAAGAAAAATAGCAGTTTGTATTAAAATGCAAAAGGATAGATACTATGATTATGTTGAGAGAAAAAAATCCAGTTAATGTTTTTGTTACTTATTGTTTTTAGCAGCTTGTTTTGAAGTGTATTTTGTCAGCATTGCATACCTTTTTGATATGTTTTCAACATTTGGGTATAAAAATCAAATAAATGCATCTTGTGTCCCAAAAAATGTTTCTTATTGAACAGGTTCAGATAGTCCCTACCTGTTTCACTTCTTCCATTTCATGCCTAGTGAACACAACACAGGCAGTTATGAGTGGCGAAGATGGTCAATGCTTTCTGACAAGTGTCCACACACAGAGGGTGCGTCCCAACAATCTCCTGAAGTGTACACTCTTTCACTACTTCCAAAGATGATTAAATTGACAAGCTAGCCGAGTGACTGCTCTAACCATGGAAATACATGTCCTCAATGATTGAAGGAAGGCGAGAGCAGGTGGGACCATTCTAGCCAATGAGAGGGCAGATACGTGTGTGAACAACAGGCACAACTAAGTTATTTTTCTCAAAGTTGCCAGAATGCCACATGCATCTACTTATATCAGTACATTTGTATCAGCCTAAAAATTTGGAAACTTCTATTCGATCAAATAAGCGTCATGTAATTCGACATTCATAGACCTCCATACAAAAACAGGGCTTATCTCACACGGACAGATTTTGGGTGGAGTAAATCCTCTCACTTCGCCTCTTCCTCTGCTACTTCCCACAAATCTAAAAGCATTGGATTGGTGGAGGCATGAGCTAGTGGGAGATTCCACCATGTCTTATACAAGCTCTGTCTCACGTCAGAATTAAGACATTCATCCATGTTTCCCAAATGTCAAAATTGGAAGTGTTTGGTTACTTCTCTACCGTTCCAAGGTTGTTTAATGCCGAATGAAGGTTTGAGATAAGCTTAAAACAAAAACAGCTTTCAAATCGCAGGATTCGAACATGCAACCTTTTGAACCAGAGGCAGACGCCGTCCACAACGCCCTAACAAAACGAATGCCTACTTGAAGATAATGCTCACTGTTGCCCCTAGTGGCCGGTTTCCCAGACTGGTCTCAGACTAGACATAAAATAGTAAACATACGTCTGGGAAACATATGAGTATATGTTACATTTGGTATGGTTACATGAAATAGGTTACTTAAGGCAAAATCAAAAGGAGGGTGGTTGTATAACGCAAACATCTAGCAACGCAAAGGGTGCGTGTTTGAATCTCATCACGGACAACTTTTAGCGTTTTAGTTAATGTTAGCTTTAGCCACCTAGCTAACGTTTGCCACAACAAATTGGAATTTGCAACGCATTGTACTTTTTGCAAATTCATAACATTCTGTACGTACATCCACAAATTAATACATACCGTACGAAACGTAACATATCATACTAAATGGAGTGTCTCGGATTTACATACAGAATAATAAGAAATGCTCTGAGATCAGGTTGGGTTTCCACGTCATCTCCCAACATCCTCAGACATGGATGGGCGTCGACTACTGATTTGTATCATGGGTGACCTGCCTGATTTTATAGCAGTAATTTCCTTTCAAATCAGTAAAGGGCAGTGAACAAATGCACACTTTGGGAGAAAGGAGAGATAATTGGGATATAGCCACACATCTGTGACCTGGGTGGCCTCAGTGTTTATGTAGGACTGATTCTCCCGGTCCTCTCCCTGACCCTGCTCCCTGGAGCGTGTGTGTGTGGTGGCCCGGACAGGCTTTGGCAGCCAACGCCATTGTGGGGGTCTGATGGACCAATGGAGAAATTGCACTGGGCGGTTTGGGAACATAGTTCAGTACCCCTATATTATTAGTGAGATTTTCCCTGGGCATGAGGGGCCATAAGACCACAGTAGAGAGGTTTGACTTAACTATAGTAAATTCGGTTGGGAAATGTATTGAAATAGCTCTCATCAAGGTTGGCACTAGGTTATTTCCATGTGCGGTTCACCATGGGGCAGTAGTGGGTGGCTAGTGGGCTTTATGTTATTATATATATATATATATATATACACACACAACAGTTTCCATTGGAGTTCTCTAACACGACTTTCCTCTCCTACTGTCAGGTGTGCGTCTCCATGCTGGTAGAGGTTAGTTACACAAGGCTGAGGCCTGTCTGAACGCATCTCCTCCAACAGCCTTGAGACTCACACAGCAGCCTGTACAGACATCACAGGTGGGGTGAAAAATGCACCCAGACACACACCTCACTTTCTCTCCCACACACTCGGTACACGTATGCCAGTCACAAGATGCGACAGCAGTTCCAAGAATGAACTTGTAGACGAGGTACCGCTATTGATACTCAGACCCAAGTCAGGATGACAGTAGAATTATTGGAAAATAATCTATGGACACATACAGTATCACATTGCTGTGAATGTCAAAATGCATGTAAGCTCATGTTCCTTATTGTTCTAGAACCACTTTGAAACATAAATCATATCTGTCTGTATACAGGAAAGTACTGCACAGACGCATCCTGTTTTTGTGTCGTTTTACATTTCATTAAAAAAAAAACATTTTAGTCATTTAGCAAACATTCTTATCCAGAGCGATTTACGGTAGTGAGTGCATACTTTTTCAGATTGTTAATACTGGTCCCCTGTGGGAATCAAAACCACAACCCTGGCGTTGCAAGTGCCATGCTCTACCAACTGAGACACACTTGGCAGTTTAATTGAGTAAATATCCCTAGGCGTTTATATTCAAAAGTTTTGCTCTTGGTGGTTGAAACAGTTCTCTCTCACCGTACGAATTTGCATAGATTACAATTTTGCATAGAGTATGATTAATTTGTATGCTTGATTTCACACACACACACAACATTTAGGTCACCCACGCCAGATCGGACCTGGGTACCATGCTCAGTGGTTCACAGTGAAATCCCTATCCAGCAGACAACCTTGTGACAGATTATGATCTGATTGAACCTCCTGACAGTGGTTCCCCAAACCTTTTCTGCATTGTACCCCCAAACTAAAGCCATGTAGCACATTTCCAGAGTTCAATCAATGGGATAATTCACTCAGGTTGTACAACTGATGTGCCGGGTGTCTCCGCAACCGTTTTAAAATCATTTTTATATAGACAAACTCGTAAAAGAATATGCATGCTAAGTCTCCAGAACCACTCTATAACCCTGTTACTAGACCTGCTGGCTGTAAGACTGTCCGGGAACAACCCCTAGACTTCTCACAGCCTGGCAGTGCTGTTTAATAGAAAGGTTTGTGTGACTAGGCATTCCACAAGAGTTTCCTCCTCTCACCTGATGCATTTGCCTAATTTGTCTGCTAGTTTGCCTATCTTGCACACGGTCAAAAGCCTCTCACTAACCAAGCCTCAATTGCAGGTGATATATAAGCAATGGAAGTGTTGCTCTCACCCAAACACACTTCCGTGCACGCACACACACACACACACACACACACACTAGGGTAAGGCGCTGTCAAATCATTAAACTAAAATGAAAGACATTTACATTTACATTACATTTACGTCATTTAGCAGACGCTCTTATCCAGAGCGACTTACAAATTGGTGCATTCACCCTATAGCCAGTGGGATAACCACTTTACAATTTTTTTTATTTTTATTTTTAGGGGGGGGTAGAAGGATTACTTTATCCTATCCCAGGTATTCCTTAAAGAGGTGGGGTTTCAAATGTCTCCGGAAGGTGAAGACCTGAGCACTGTTGAGTGTTTTTTTTTTCCACTTTCCCATAACACAAAGTATAGTAAGATAGACACAAAAACATGGTCACAAACAGGTTGGTTTTTTATTTTATTGGAATACATAGTCCACTGTACAGTCGGCAGCTTCGAGAGACCTACATGCAGAATGCGGTAAGGTTAAACATGCACAAACGTATTACCCTAGGACAGAAAAAGCATCCCGCACAGTTTACAGTGTATCACTGACACAGAGAGAAGCTCAGAGCAGCGACATCCATAATAACCCTTTTGATCTGATTTCAAAACATACATTTTTCTCTCTTTGATACGACTGTAGGTTCCCTCCAGCTGTCCAATAGTCATTTCTATCCATTTATAAACGCACTGCAATATAAAATACATGAGTTGCAACTACCCTAGTTGATTGTACAGGACGAAGTTCCTCTGTGTGTCTATGTGGGAGTGTGTGTGGAGAATATCCAGTTTGTGTTTTTGTTCATGTTGGAGTGTGTGTAGGTGTGTGTCTTGAGGCCTGAACATCTCTTTCTTTGGCAGCACACAAGATGAACAAACCATGAATGAGAGAGAAAACAGAGAACTTGGTAGAATGACTGATTCCTGAACCGCTAATAACAGGATACCACATGGTGAATGACTTTAGACTGCGTGGACTCTGAGTAGACATGCTCCTGATAAAAAAACCTACATTACTCTCATTCTTCAACGACTATGACAAGTCTCTGTCGGTTTGCCATCTCGTGTCATAGCTCAAGATCATGAGACATCTCTCACATTAAAACAACAAAACAAAATAGGAAAAGTACTCTCCAGGAGTGCATTAATGAGAAAGATGCATATCTAGAAAACAAAAAAATCCGACATATATTTCAATAAGGCCCACTTTACAAAATTACAAGATTTTCTTAAATAAAATCTATCCGATACGGCTTCCAAAATAAGACATATTTTGTTTTACAAAACTGAAACAAAAAAATACATGGGCGAAAAAACAAAAGAAACCCTCAAATTGAATATTTCCCCTTATTTCAGCACAAATAGTTGAAGAGACAGGGTATCCATCTTGGAAAACACTAGCGCTGTCTCACAGAGTGTAAACTGGAAACACTGTGGAATGATTTTGGCACCATGTTAGAAGGAAAAGACACTGACGTGATCGAGTGCCATGCCTCACGAAATCAATTGTTTAAAAAATGAAGCACTTTATAATAATCTGTACAATAAACGTGACAGTCCACAGCTCCTCACGCTATCGGACGAGTTGTTTCATAATTGCTCCAAGCAATTTATCAATTTCAATTTGGCCGGTGCAAAAACACACATTTACAATATATATACACACATCTTTGATGACCATACATCCAGTGAAGAAGAAGAAAAATCACAGAGTGGAATACAATTCTCAGGGATAAACGCAAAAGCAACTTTTGACAAAAGAGGGC